GGACGAGCCGCTTCGTGCTTTCTTATTCTCGAATACGCAGACAAGTTCGGCCGTACAGAAGCTGAAGGGAATATCACCCACTCCGTGCGTCCAAACAGAAACAGCTCTACAGCTAAGCAGCAACTGCACTGCAGTAGCCAGAACGGTTCCCAGCTCTCCCTGTGTGTGCCCACCCGCGCCTACGTCCACGCCCACCTCCACCATAAGTGGAGCCTTTACCGCCAGGCCCTGTAGGAGGTGGAGGAGGACCTCACTGAACTTTACGGCTTCGTGGATCTTGCAAACCGCTTCGTGGACTGTTCTCGCAGGTCAGCTCCCTGGGGGAACTCAAGGTTTGATGGTAGGTGGAAGTGCTTTGATATTCATGGATTTTGGATACTTTTATCTCAATGCTATGACCATTCTCCTACTATCATCCTTGATTAAATCCTCCTTCCTACCCTTCAGCCACAGTCACAAAGCAATCATCACTGGTCACCTCCCGACTCTGTCGCAGTCATACCGCACTCTCACTCATAGCAACATCCATTCGTATGGTCAGACTGTCTAGACTGCTTTGATTTGCTTCAAAAGGCATTGCCTCTTCGCACAACATGTCATTGGCCTCCGGTGGGTTCGGCTTGAACAGCACAGCGCGTGGGATCACGGCCGGCACCTGCACAGCAAGAAACAGATTTCGTAGTGCATGAAATAGCATAAACATTAGTGTACGAACGCAAAACATGCGGCACCATTGATCCATGCGTGCATGTACTGCATATGTAACTGTAAACTTAAACACCAGCCTGAAGTATATGTGCGTGTACATGTGCGTGCACACGTGTATGTGTAAGCATGCCTACATGTGTGACATGTATTATATGTATATACGTTATGCATACACGAACATGTCCATCCATCCATCCATCCATGCATATACATAATGTATGTATGTATGCATGTATGTATGAATGACGCATCTGCACTGAAACAAACCTGCAAACACATGCCCCAACCTTCATCCCAGAATGGCAACACACGCAGTGACTAATCAATACAACGATGCGACCGTATGGCGCGTGGCCACGATATCCGGGCATCCAAAGCAAAAAACCCAAGTCTTCGACATCATGGGACACACTTTTTGCCGCATACGCTTAAATCATGCGAACCACTGGCAGTTGCAGAAAGGCGGTCGGGGACTCGGCGAGGACGCTAAAGACGCCACTGTCGCAAGTCACGCCATGCAAGTGTACAGCACTACAGCATATTTTGGGAAGTTGAGGCTGCGCAAAGTTGCCGGCCCTTTGACGAACCAGTGCCGGAGGCCAGGGCTTTTTTTTCAGCATGGGCCTGGATTGTGTGCCAGCGAACACTCCTCAACAGCAGAGCCTTCTCGTTTGACGACGGATGCAAACGCGGGAGTGAGAGAAACACGAGAAGTGAAGAAGCGTCAGTGCTTTGAACTCAACACCCGGCCTTCGCATATGTGGCCGTTGCGCAGCAGTCCACGAGCCTGGGCTTACGGTTCAGGGCTGGCGCGACCCTTCGGACTGTCGACGGCTGTGCTCAGACCTGACAGGTTATCACGATGGCAAGGCATGCCAGAAACTCTAGGATGGCAAGCAAGTGCACCTTGAGCCGGTGTGCCAAACTTCAACCAATCAGCTGACCCGTTTGCGATTTTGCCTCCCTTTTGCGGTGGAACCCGAGCTACAGGTACAGCCGGTACTGTGCGCAACTGCCCAGAGTCCACAGGCGCACCTAAAACTACAAGCCGCGCATTAGGGAGCCCAAAACCAACACTTTTGGTCGAGAAGTTTAGCGAGTTCTCATATGCGAGACGGGCGGCCAGGGCCATATCGACTGCAAACGTGCAATGCCGACGAAAGCACCTGCTAGAGACACCAAGTCAATTCTAAGCTTGAGCTCTCGCCAGTTCGCAGCACTCGCTGAAGCCAACAAAAGCCTTTGCATGGCCTTCGATAAGATTTCAACAGCGTGGCCGCTGTGAATGTGCACGAGAACCACAAGCCTCTTGGCCTTGACTTCCCTGCCCGCATGAGAAGACCCACCTCCGATCATGTCCAGCTGCGATCTGCCCTTGCAGTGAAGCTCTGCCCTCAGTCGGAGCAAGCTCACGACCGAGGGTGCGCATCGAAACTCCGAGGCTTTTAAAAGCCGGCAGTACAATCGTTCGAGGTGAGGCCATCCAACCAAGAGTCTCCCAGTCCAGGGCATAGATCAGCTCCTCGCCCACCTCGCAGGGTCCACGTAAGAGCAAACTCAACGCTCAATGAAATGGGAAGCCGAGCTGACACTCCAGAGAGGTTAAGCCCAACGGACAGGGTGGCCTGGTGTGCCCACAGGAAGGCCACCCCTCCTGGGCCAGTGTTGTGGTAGCCACCGAACTCCACGGTGCCGTTCCTGTCCGTGACCCCGTGCTTCACCCCAAGATCTAATCAGTCGCAAGGAAGACTGCCTCAGCAGGTCAGCATATGTTCTGACCAACGCCAAAGCAATCGCAGTTACAAGCACAACAACGACCAACCACAGTCAACCACAACCACCACCGCCGCCGCCACCACCAACAGCATCATCAGCATCGGCAGCCTCAGCAGGGGCAGCAGCAGCTGCAGCAAGACCTACAACAACTGCCGCAGTCACCATCATCATCACATCATCGTCATCACATCAAGATCGTCATGATGATGATGATGGTGGTGGTAATCATCATCATTTACAGCGGCGAGGGCAACAACAAGACCAACATGAAAACTCAAGCAAGCCCAACGGGATTATCACTTCCAGCAGTCTGGGCCTCTGCTTCTGTGCAGTCGCCCAGACCACGAAGGCATTGAAGGCCTCTGCAGCTGGCAGATTCTGCCTTCAACTCAGGCTTGAGAGGCTGGGTGTTTTGCACGGGGTGATCACCAGGATTGGTACTGTGTGACTACGGGTGTCAAAGCCTGGGGAATAGTCATGCCTTCAGTCAGACGGCTAGCTCAGGTGACGATAAACGAGCGTGCAAACAGGTGGGGCGTAGGCTCTCCTGTGGGGTCCTGCCCAAGAGAAGGCATGCCGCTGCATGCTATTGCCCTGTGCCGTCTCGGAACTATTCTCTCCCCTCTTGTAACAGCATCTTCATCCCTAGCCCGCCCTGCCGTCATGATCTTCTTTGTGGACGTTCGGCGGTCGGGGCAGGTCGGAGTGACCTTCCTCCCAGGACATGTTCTAGACATCACAAGCCAAGCATCGCCAACCGACAACAGTGTCCCGAAACATTTAGAGCGAGTCTGCGTGGCCTCGCAGTGGCGAGAATTTCTTCAAGCAGCTCGACGACTTTCCCCTTGGTTACAGGCTCCGCTCGGCACTTGCTCTTGCTTGCCTTGCTGCTGGTGAGTCTGACCCTAAGTGTGCAAGGGAAGTGGAACCCTGTTGTTGCTGCCTCAGAGAAGGCAGCGCCAGCGCTTCTGTGCAAGCAGGCTGATGCAAGCTGGACAAAGCTGTGTGAGGTGTTCATGCTTGCCCGCGCTCAATGCAGTCCCACGACTTGCCGGGTGGATGCTGACTCAAGTCAAGTCGAAACATCGCAATAACGACAGAGCAGTCTTGATTCTTGATTCCAACCGGGAGGCAGCCGCGCCAAGTGCTATCTGCCGGTGTGCGAAGCGTCGAGGGATGAGGGATGCGAACCACTCTCGAACCTGGATCTGTAACGGGCCGTTCCAGTGCAGCCATGTGCTCAATCTGCGAAAGCAAGTCGACAGCCGCAAGGAGGCCACCTCCACTTGGAGGCTGCCGAGGCTGAGGAGCGCCATGCAACTGGAGAATCGGGCCTGGGATGGTGAGTCCCTCTAGCTATCCGCACTGCAGTCCTTCGGTGTGCAGGGTCATAGCGACAGTACCTGCAGGGGTGGCCCTGGAGAGGTTCCAGCTAGAGCTTCGCAATGAAACCAAAGACATAAGCAAGTGGCGTCCTTTGCGTCCTTTCAGCGAGACTCCGCGGAGCTGCACGAGTTCCAAAGGCAGGGGACCGCAGGCTTGAGGTCTCGGGGTTACGTCGTACAACCTGGACAGCTTGGGACCCCGCATTGCAGGGACAGGCTTCCTCAATCACATGTTCGATCCTATTTTGTACGGTAACTCCTCGATAGCTAGTGAAGTCTTTGAGGAACGTGGGCTTTGGAAGAAGCTTGTACAGGCTCCAGGTCTCTCGGTAAGGGCACTTGCCTGTTTGTCTGGTGGCCAGCTTACATGCGGGGCCGGAGTGGAAGCTGATAGGCCAAGCGAAACGCTGCGGACGAGCTGATGATCATGGTTACGCTTGAACGAGAAGATCGACGAAGCCAATCTGAAATGTCAAGCCGAATGTTCCGATTAGCGCTCTCCTCCCCACGAAACGGCCAGCAGAGCGCCTCGTCGCTGTCGCCGGCCTCTGCTCAGATTTTCCAGGACTCGCACTCGAGCAACTCAGGCAGGTTCGGGAGACAACTAAAGACGCTGCCCTCACAAGAGGCAGACATGAAAAGCTTACTCCGTATTAAAGTTGTGCGCATGACCCCTGCTCAGGATGACACGCACGACTAAGGAGTGTGCATGGCCCTTGCGAAGGATGACACGCACAAACCGAGGTGCGTGGGATGCCATGTATTGGCTCAAGCGCGATTGAAAAAGGCATTCGGCCTTTGAGTGTGAGACACTGCATCGTGCGGGAAGTGCGATAATCATTGTGTCCTTTTTGGGAGATTGATGGGTTCGGGTTTGGTTTTGTGTGAGCCTTGGGGCCCATGTACAATCCTCTAGATGACCTACCGCATCAAATTAGACAGAGGCTCGCAGGCTCTGCACACTACTCCATTGTTACTAATACCCCGAGTCCTGTAAATCCCCAACATCATCAACAGGTGATGAGCCCAAACCCCCTAGATACTCCTCAACCTAGGCACGACATACAAGCAGCAGCAGCAGCAGATGCCTCAGCGCGAGACGACGCGACTGACACTGTGATGTTTAGGTCAATGACGCAGATTGCTTTCCCTGCCGATTTGCTTCGACAACTTCAGGAGAACGTGTTTTTTGATCTTGGAGCCATCGAAGATATCCGAGCAGCGATGCAGGAAATCAGCGATCGACTTAACCATCGTACAGGAATTCTAGGCCAAGCTGTGCAATCCTTGGACTCAGGTCACCGTCAGGTCTTTGAAGGGTGCGTTACTGTTGAAAATCAGTTGGAAGAATTCAAGCGGATTTTGAGGGCCCAGCAGACCGTGATTGAGGAGCAAGCTTCGACATGGACCAGGGAGATGGCTGCAATGAGAGATCGTTTGGAAGACAACCAGGCGGTAATCAATCAACAGCTTGTCGTGATAGATCAGGCGAAGCAGCGCGAAGCCCTGCTATTGGCCAAGGTGGAATCCATGGCTGGACGTCTGAATGAGATGGAAACCATGCTGTCCAGTATGAGTGCGAGTGTGAACGAACACAAGGGCCGGCTAAGCACTCATGAAACTTACATTTCAGCAGCTGTAAGTTCGCAGGCTACAGGGTCTCAAGAGGGCGATGCTGGTGCTGCCGAGGGTGATTTGGCAGTCCAAGTTCGCATGTTGGCCGAGAGGGTGGATCAAGAGCTGGCACAGATTGCTCGTGGGGACGCTCACGATGCAGAGGCTGGATCTTTGAAGGACCTGAATGCGGCTGTAGACCAGCTTGACGAACGGGTAACGGCACTGGAGACAAGCATGGAAGAGTGGGAAAATGCGGATTGTGAGGATGATCAACGTCCTTGTGAGTCTGAAGCGCATGTGGGCGGAATGCCCCAGCGATTTGACTTGACACCGAATTTGCAGGACACTCCTACGTGGGGAAATCAAGAGCCTGCAGATGAACAGGAACCAGATGCTACCGCTATGTGGTGGCAGCAACCTTTCGAGTTTTCATCAACAGAGCATAGTGCGAATGTATCCATTGGAAGGCCAACGCAGAATGTCTGGGGAATTAGTGATCCTCCTGGTTTGCCAGCGTACCTCCGAGCTCCAAATGTGGTCGCAGACAACGCTGCGGATCCTGGGCAGGGGAATGTGACTGGTGAGATCCCAAATGGAAGGTGGAAAACATTGAATGATCTGCCGAGCTATCAGCCGGTGGTAGGTCAACCCTGGGAGACTGCAATGGCCTATGTCACTTGGAAAACGCAATTTCTAGCGGTAAGCGCGACTGTTGCCGACTCTTTCAAGCAGTACGTGGAGACCCAGTTCATTGCGGCCCATGCGCGGCATGAGGCGAGGATGGCTGGCGGTACACGGCAGCCTTTCCCAGCCGTTCCACATCAGATGCGAGATTTTGAATCCAGGCTGGTAGTGGCTTTGTTGCGGGTCCTCCCACAGGAGATGAAGTCCGCAGCCATGGAGTCAGATGAGAATCAAATCTCTTCATTGGCCCTCCTTGAAGAACTTATCACGATCGTACAACCTGGTGGCCGAGAGGAGGTCTCGAGCCTTTTGACTTATGTCAGGAATCTTCAGCCGGTGAGCACAGCTCGAGAAGCGTTGGAGGTTTTGCGACGATGGAAGATGGCTCGGACCCGTGCAGCTGCTTTGGGGTTACCGGCTACAGCGCCGAGTGAGGCCCTGAAATCGCTGGCATCATTGACGCGTGTCCTGGAACGTAAGCAAGATGCTTTGAAGACCCGTCTTGGCATTTTGCGTTTGGCGCCGCAGATCCAATTCCCGACGGAGGCGGGAGTCAACATGATGTTGGACACTTTGGAGCACGAACTCCGGCAAACAGCAGCTGACGAACACACCAAGCAGAACAAGCAGGAGGGAGGCCCAAGTGAGAGCTACGCAAACAAAGGCAAAGGCAAGGAGAAAGGAAAGGATAAGGGTAAGGGCAAGGGAAAGGAAGCAAAAGGGAAGCACGGAAAAACCAACGTGCAACCCGGTCCAGTTCCCATGCTCAAGATCGTAAGTCTGGAAATCCTGATCCTGCAGATGCCAATAAGACCCCGAAGAAGATTGACAAGCCATGCAGATTCTTTTTCGGTCCGAAAGGATGTTATCGGAAGCAGTGCAATTACAGCCATGATGAAAAGTATCGGGCGGAGGCAAGTCGTGCTGCTAAGGCAGACACAGAGGTGCCAGGTTTGCTGGGTACAGACTCGGCAGCAGCTGCTGCGAAGGGAAAGGCCAAGGCGAAAGCTAAGGCATCGGCAGTCGCATCAGCATTCATGGCACGTAGGCTTCGTGAGGACTCAGAGGCTGACGGATCGCAGGAGGAGTCTGAGGCTTTGTCATTGGAATCATTGTCATCTTCAGCATCGACACCATCCCCTGAGTCAACCATTCAGGACGAGGGTTCAGAAAGTGAGTTGGATCCTTTGGTGGATGATCTAGCCCAAGCGGTTCGTGAGGCTCGTGAAGAGCGTCTGGAGAGACTACCGTTGTGGAGAGTGCACTTAGATCCTGATGAGTTTGTGCGGTGGACAAGTGGCCACGTGCAGATTGGGGCACGACGGGATTTCGTCGGAGTCACGAACCCTTTCGATGTAGCGGTCGGTGTATCTTATTTCTTGAATCGTGTAGAGACGCTTCCAGCTTATGATCTCGAGATTGGAGAAACGCAAATGATTGCGGAGGCACATGCTGTGATGATCATGTGTAGCGATGGTATTGTGCGACCGGGATTTGTTGCTTGGCTTTTGGATTTAGAGGACGGTAATGAGCTGTACATTGGAATGGTTGAGTCCGGGTTTAGACCAGGATTTCCGATGCCACCAGTGGTGAAGTCAGAAGCTGCACCTCCAAAATCAAGTCCAAAGGCCTCACTAGTGAAAAGACCCCCAGTAGTGCCGACAATCATCGCACCACCTCCTGTGAAGGCATCCGGTGATTCAGCACAGTCATCAACTGCGTGTCCAAAGCCATGTCCATGGGATCAGAGTAGAGCAGGTGAGCCGAGCAGTAAACAGCCTACCGTAAGAGCCCCACCTCAGGTTGCACCAGTGCCAGCCGCTCCGCCTCCAAAAGCTAAAGCTGTGAGGAAGAGTCCCCCGGTGGTTCCCAAGGGTGGATACGGCCAGGCTAATAAGGCAACGCCCGGCCTGCATGCAGATCACGATTTCGTCCTGGTAGACTCCGGAGCGAACGAAGTGTTGCGACCAGGCGAGCCCCCGCGGAGGGGGTGTGAAACATCATTGCAATTGGCCGATGGCATGAGAATCAAAGCGTTTAGAAGCCGGGAAGGGGAGTTGGTGATTCCTGGCGCCACATGGATCTGTGGTCTGAGTCGTTTGGTCTCGTTAGGATACAAGTTCGTGTGGAGCCGAGCCCGAGGTCCCTACCTTCAGACCGATGATGATTTCCCGGGTGAGATTAGAACCATCAATCTAATCGTCATGAACGGTTTGCCTTATGTCCGGTGGGAGGACTTCGTTGAGGTTCGAAGATACTTGACTCAGCAGTACAAGCAGTGCAATCGCAAGGTTTGCAGTGTGACGGTTCCCATGTGTCCCGAAGCCTCAAGCATTCTTGACATTGAAGAAGTCATGGCGCATGTGGCAGATGATCTAGAGTGCTGTGAAGCTAGCTTGGTTGCTGTGGAGCCAGCAACAGACCATGACGAATCAAAAGAGAGCCAGTTTGATGCGGTCTTGGATGAGCTTCATAGGGCTAAGTTGCGCGTAAAGGGCAGTCACAGGCCAAACGTTACGAAGCCAGAGTCCCAAGGTCATGCATGGGCTTTTGGTTTGTTTGGCCGAGGTGGAATGTGTGGAACCACGCGCCTTACAAAGCAGCATGTGCAGCTTGTGCAGAGAGTGAATCGCTTGATTAGGACTGTTCACCCTGAGGCTAGATACACCTCATTCATGATCATGGAAAACACTGCTTTTCGGCCTCACAAAGACAGTCGAAACATGCCTGGCTCACAGAATTATGTGTTAGGTCTCACGGCATACGATGGCGGAGAGGTTTGGGTAGCTGATCCAAAACTTGAGCGGTCCAAGGCAGTGTGGCGAAAGACGCATGATGACAAGCCTCCTGCGAAGGGTCGTTTGTTGAGCACAAGCCGTACGATTGCTGAGTTCGACCCGTTTCAAATGCATGGCACAGAGCCTTTCCGAGGGCACAGAATTGTGGTGACGGCGTTCACGCCGGCAGCTGGACAGCAGACCTCAGAGCGCATGCGTGCTCATTTGGAGGGTTTAGGCTTTCCAATCCATGATAGACACGACGACGACGGAACACGACGTGTAGAGATCAACACGGTTCTGCAGCAGCAGCATCAACAACAACAACAGCAGGGTAGCACATGCGCGCCAGCAGAAGGCGCGCCGGAGCCGCTGGAGAATGCCTTGGGAGTTCAGGGTGTTCAGGGAGTTCAGGGAAGCTTAGGCGATGACCAGGGTGTTCAGGATTGCTTTCAGGGTTTACCTTATTTCGGTGAAGTCGTAGAAGTGAGCGATGGAGAGCTGTCAGAAGACTTGTTTCCTGAGCTCGCGCACTCAACGAAGCAAAGAGCCGATGAGCAGCGACCTGATTGCGAAGATAATTTGGATGTGTATGAGCCTTCACTTCCTGAGGAGGAGAAGCCTGTTGACCAAGGTCCAGAGTCTTTGCCACCTGATGCGATTCCTAAGCCGAAGCCTGGAAGGACAATAGATGATTTGAGAACTCGAGGACTCCGACGACCACACCTTCGTTTGAGTGAAGAGCAGGTTGCAACGGGAGTGATGTCCATTGATCTTGCTGGTCCTTACCGTGAGGGCTATGATGGCGCAAGATACATGTTGGTTGCAGTGCTTCGTCTAGCTGATGGATGCAACTTGCAGTATACAAGGCCTCTCCGACACCGACATTGGCAGCTAGTGTACGAGCAGCTTCAAAGTATTCTTTCACAGATTGCAGCTACAAGTGGCGGCAAGCCAGAGGTAGTGAGAATACACTCAGATCGAGCGCGAGAGTTTATTGCAAAGCAGCTGGTGGAAGGCATCAACAAAATGGGCGTGTTCAAAACAACCACCTGCGGGTATGACCCTCAAGCAAACGGCTTAGCAGAAAGGTGCATTGGCATGCTCAAGGAGAAGGCCAGAGGTTTTCTGATCAAAGGACGGCTTCATGTGGCATATTGGCCGTTGATGATGCACGAAGCTGCGCGTAGGCATCGTGATGGAGTGCTGGGAGTCAGGACTCAAGGCCAACGTCCTGATCCAGGTCAGAAGGTGGCCATTCGGGTCATTAATCCTGGACCGTTTGATCCGAGAGCTGAGCCTGCAACTTTCTTGGCGCAGTGCGATGATGTATCACGCGGTGCATTAGTGCTGGTTGAAAGGAACGGGCAACAGAAAGTCGTGACAGCAAGGCTTCCAACAACTCTGGACACACAGAGCGCAACTTGGAGAACACATACCACACCGCTGGGTGATCTTGTTTGGATCTCTTCGAAGGGCGACGTGCGAGACGGTGAGTACATCAGAGATTTAGGTCACGATCTTGGTTTGCTAACCGTCGAGGAGCGCGAATACGGCCCTGAAGAGGCGAAGGAAGCAGATTTCTTCCAGGCGGCGAAGTGTGAAGCAGCATGCAACAAGGCTGTGGAGAGTTCAGCTAAGGATACTGAGGTCACCAAGTCCAGGGATAAGAATCTTGAGTGGCTTGAGGGAAAGACCTGCACCGTTTGTGGGAAATCTTCCAAGGCATGCTATCTTGAGAAGCTGGATAAGGTGATGCCAGAGCCATGTGGATATCAGGTTCCTGGATTTGATGAAGAAGCAGAGATGGTTGAGCAAGAGCGTCTAGCCCAGGAGCTCAAGAGCTTTAAGGCAAGCGCGGAACCATGTGGGAACGATGTTTTCTTCGGCCCACGTCGCGAGGATTGGATTGGAGCGGCACGTAAGGAGCTCGACAACATGACGGTGCATCAGAAGGTTTGGATTGAGGTTCGAAAGGGCCATATCCATGAGGATTTGGGTCTAGACAGAAGCGTGAAGCTTCCTAAGGCCCTACCGATGCAACTTGTCAACACCTTGAAGCCTTTGAATGAAAGCTCTGGACCAATCGACGAGCCGAAAGTGAGGATCGTAGCATGCGGAAATTTCCAACATGATTCTCAGGACAAAGAGGACTTGAGCACGCAGAATGTGGACATGTCTGTCTTGAGGACCATGGCTAAGGAAACTGCTCTAAGGCCATCGTGGATCATGGGAGCAGGTGACATCAGCGCAGCATTTTTAAACACCTCCTTGGGTGGTAAAGACTTGGTCATTCTTGAGCCGCCGGCAGTCCTTAAACGACTGGGTTTGATTGCGGAAGATGTTCAGTACGTCCCAATCAGAGCAATCTACGGGTTGCGACGGTCCCCTTTGGACTGGAGCCGGGATCGAGACGGCAAGATTTCCGGTAAGGTTTTGACCGATGATCAAGGAAGGCAGATCCACTGCGTGCCTATCGCGCACCAGGACGGTCTGTGGAAGCTGCTATGTGGTGACACTCTAGTGGGATTAGTAGCCATGTATGTAGATGATTGCTTGGTAACGGGCGAACGATCTGCAGTGGAAGCGTTCTTGCAGTTTATCCAGGGTTTCATCGCGAGACAAACGGACGTGCAAGTGAAATGCAACGATGAACAAGTGGCACAGAAGCAAGCGCTGAACTTCTTGGGAGTAGAAATTTCCTTCGAGGGGGATAAGATCGTTATCCAGCAGCGCCGCTGGATTCTTCAAGAGCTGAATCGCAGAGGCTGGGTTCATATGAAGGGTTCGCAGTCACTTCCTCAGCTGGAGATGGCCGAGGATGAAGCACTTGACGAGCATCATGCCAAGAATCTGGCCAATGCACGGTCAGAAATTGGAGCTCTGATGTGGATTGGAATTCGGAGTAGACCCGATGTCCTTGCTGCTGTGTCAATGGGAGCGAGTGTTATGCATCGCCGACCAGAGGCGATCTGTAAGTTCTGTGTGGGTTTGTGGCGCTATGTGCGAGGGACCCTTGATGAGTGCTTGCAGTATGGACCGGATGGGAATCCGGGTGAGATGACTTTCATTTCAGATGCATCGTTCGCCCCTGAGGGCTCTCGAAGCCGGACAGGTGGCGTGTTGTGTTATGCAGGCAGTGTGATACATTGGTTCTCCTGTCGACAGACAGTCACTGCTTGGTCAGTTTGTGAAGCAGAAACGGATGCACTGGCTGAGACCTTGTCCCAGGGGATTCGTCTTACGTATGTGCTGCAGGATCTTCTTCATAAGCCTGTGACGAGGACGCTGACAGGAGATAACAGTGCTTCAATCATTCTTGCAACTCAGGATCGCATGCATTTTGGCAAGTGGAGGACTAGAGCTTTCGCTTTGAGGTGCAGCTGGATGCGCGATCAGATCCATCTTGAAGATGTGCAGGTGTTGCACACTCCAGGAGAACATCTCATTGCAGACATGCTCACGAAGATACTTCCAAAAACACGCCTCATGCAGTTGAGACATCGTGTGGGCGTTGCGTCCATGCCAAAGATCACAGGATAAGCCAGCCGAGTGCTGGACATGAGTTTTGATTTTGCTTTCTGGAGTGGGGCCGAAGGAATAGTCCAGCCCGCTCAGATCTCCAGTTGCAGGGTCATGCTGCGGGGTCGCGACTTTTGTAGATTCTCTTCGCAAGTCGAGGAGGAGTGTGCGCATGACCCCTGCTCAGGATGACACGCACGACTAAGGAGTGTGCATGGCCCTTGCGAAGGATGACACGCACAAACCGAGGTGCGTGGGATGCCATGTATTGGCTCAAGCGCGATTGAAAAAGGCATTCGGCCTTTGAGTGTGAGACACTGCATCGTGCGGGAAGTGCGATAATCATTGTGTCCTTTTTGGGAGATTGATGGGTTCGGGTTTGGTTTTGTGTGAGCCTTGGGGCCCATGTACAATCCTCTAGATGACCTACCGCATCAAATTAGACAGAGGCTCGCAGGCTCCCCAACTCCTACACACTACTCCATTGTTACTAATACCCCGAGTCCTGTAAATCCCCAACATCATCAACAAAAGTGTGCATGTACAGGCCGCACTGTCGGTCCCCAATACCTCCCTGTCACGAAGTGCAACGCCTGCTGAAAAAAGAGCTTAAGCTACGCAAAACCCTTTATAGCACATCTTGAATCCCTAGCCCTAGAACCCTTTCTTTGACTGCTGAACCAAGGCGTTGAACCCTGAAACCACAAACACATATGGGTAGTTGTCAAAATTAGGGCCCCTTCTTGGGTACCCTAAATATTAGGTGCCGTATTATAATAAGGACCCTACAAAGGGACCATAATTTTGACAACCACCCGTATCTTCGAGGCCAGGGCGAGCTCGCACTCCAGCTCCAGCTGCCATCGCTTCTTGACCCGGGGGGCGCCGCGAAGCGGCTTGCCCAGCATGGAGGGCCCATGAAAGAGCAAGGAAGAAGAGCTACAGGGCAGGGTGTCAGGTTTTCGGGTTGTCTTCCAGTGGCAAGGCGACTTACTAGGTGAACTTGCCCGGCCCAGGGGCCAAGGGCCAGCAAGCTCAATAACCCAATTCAAAACACGTTCGGGGCGAGTTCTGAATTCGATGGATGTCATCTCGAGGTGTGGTAGTGGTCATGCCTTGCAAGTTACACCTACTCTAGATCCGCTTCGCGTCTGCATCCGAAGCCCGAGTGGCGGTGCGACATGCGGGTTGAAACTTGACATGCTTGCCAAAAGGCTTAGTGAACACCGAAAGCACTCTATACGATCGACTTGAAAGTGCACTCGACGTCTCCATCTCTTGCGTGTAGCACGTTGAAAGTTTACGAACCAACATCCAAACACCAACGCGCCGCTTGGTTTACGATCCATCGGCTACTGCAGCTCATTCCCTCCATGCTGTCAATGCCGCGACAGGGGTGTAATCTAAGATTTGCAAAAGATTGCAAAAGGGTAACCCAGGAATCGAGTGGTGCTCGTGTCTGGCATTGCCAGCCAAAGGCTGTGTGATCGAGCTGTAGAACACAGGTCCACTTGAACAAATGCGGTCTCCTGACTCGTCAAGTTTTGTAAGCCTCTGCATCAGAGTCGCCAGCACGCAGGTTTGCTGCGAAGCAGGCGGTCAGGAAAGCAAAACCCTCACGGGCGAATGTTCTGCGGGGGTTCTGTAACCCCAACCCGAAACTACCGCGCCCTGAGCCCAGCGCCATGCACTAATTCGACAGTTGCTGCTAGCGCTGTAGTATGGTTTAGCCTCGGCTGCCCAAGTCGGCCGTCCGAGGATCTGGACGTACCCCTCCACCTTGCCAAGGATTGAAGCTGATGAGCCGGAACCATGAACTCTGACACTGACCGGAGCCGAGTGCTGTTGCTTTCAAGTCAAGTTTGTCGGAATCCTGGCCCAAAGGCCCGATCCCACAAGCCGTAATAACTAGTTTCCTTGTGATGCCACTCAGAGTTGTGAACGTTGCCGGAAAGTTCTTTCTTCGCGCCTCCATGTCGCGCCGATGCGGACAAGGTCGATTCTACCTCGCAGAGTACACCCAGCAGAGAACAAATAGCAACACACATCCACATCCTCGAGAGGATAACCTTGCCACGTAAACACCGCTACTGGTAGAATGAGGCCGACATTGTCTTAGAGCTGATGTAGCCGGGGCACGAGGCCAGCTCTCTCAAGGACCTGCCAATGCAACAGCTTCTTTTCATTGCTCTCAGAGTTAAACACAGCGACACAGCCCTTTCACGGAACTTCCGAATGCAAAGCACCACTCTTCCCTGCGAAGGATCCAAACCCCAGACCTGGTTGCACCTAGCTTCTTATGTACTGTTCTTGAAGGAATGGTGTACGTCCATTCCAGGGGATGATCCAAGTTGGAAAAGCGGCAGCACGTCCCAGTATGTCCCAGTCTAGCATCCAATCGGCCGATCACCGAAGCTTGGCATGCTGAGGCATGCTGGCTCATACGTGCAAGCTGATTCTTGCTGCGGCTGCAAGGCGGAAACAACCTAAATAAACCCTCTCATGCCTTTCTCGCTTGGCATGGCCTCCGCAGCTCCGCGAAGCCGCTGGCCGTGCCCAGGACATTCACGAAAGCATCGACATCCAAGTGGCGCACCTTAGTATAGTTAGTATAGTTGGGTTGCAGAGATGTGCTCGCGGGAGTGTTGGATCTCTCATTAGACCTAGATTTCAATGGTGGCCGAGAGGATGCCGCGAGACAGTGATGCTGCCCAGAGCTCGCACCGACAAGGCTCAAACTTTGCCTGAAGTCTTCCAAGTCCCGCGGCCAAGCAATGAACTGAAACCCTAACGCTTGACTTTGGGAACCTTGAACGGCGGCTCCAGCTTGGCCACGGCTTCCTGCTCAACATGCAGTCGGCAGCCGGAGGGCATGGACATGACAGTTTGAAGCCGGAGCCACCGCTCGACATATCCCTTGAGCATTACAACGTCAGGGTCTAGGCCTAACAGGAAGATGACTTTATCTATCTACGTTCATTTCAATGTTTGATGTGCCTGCGTGCAATCTTCTACCTATAAGGATGTGTGAAGATCGCCCGGCGCCCATGTTTACTCCTCGAGTTCTTCACGCTTCTGCGCCGGTGCAACCATGGACACCTTGGGAGCCCGTGCAAGCAAAGGTCGCGACAATCGTCAAGGGTTGTGTACCCAAAAGGCCTATTGCTCCATCGGCCAATCATAGGGCAAAGCTGGCAAGGACAAACGGGATTGTCAACTTAAAATGTTGGCAATCACACCCGTGCAGCAACTGGTGTTCACCCTGCGTACATGCTATGCAGATGATGAACATTGCAAATTGCGATTTCTGTGGTGGCAGCAGGGATGGCCAGCAGGAGATTACGGTGAACAGCAGCCCGCTACACCAACGGAGAGTGAGAGGTACGGGAGCAACACAGTGATGGGCTGCTGCTTGCAACGGCAACAGTGCAACAATCGCATGTCGACCTAGGCATGAAGCTTCAACAATACAACTTCCTCCGATTGTCCCGATTGTCCCGACTCAACCGCTGTGCAAGGGCTGCGGCAGTGCGTCCACAGGAACCGTCGAACAAGGGAAGCACGTGCTTCTGCATGGCAGACCGAACGGAATCCTGGGCGATTAGGGCTGAGGGTGACGGTGCGAGGCGGGACTTCGCCGAATGCATGGCATGAGCCCGTCCGCGCCTCAGTCACAGTCTGCACGGCTTTGAGCAACCACTGCAGCTGATCCGGTGGACATCGTTGCAGCCTCTATCTCCATGTCAACCATCGCAACTCGAAGCATGGTGTCACATTGCAGCCATCCGATCCTAGAGCTTCTCATGCGAGTGGCGTGTTGGCAAAGGCCTCGCCCATAGCTCCTCCAGGGAATCTGACGGGAACGGGAACTCTTCAGTTGGTCTTCTCTTGGAGAGAGCTGGCACTGGTTCCATTGAAGTCTTTGGCTTCTTCTATTCAGAATCCTTTGCAACGGGAAGGGGACAGAGCTTGAACGCATGAGGCCAATGAGGGTTGAATTAGCTTCCACCTCGCATTAAACCCAGAGCGCCCTGTGAACCATTCGGAATGGACACTGCATTCTATGCGCTTGCCACAGCCTCTTGGCGAGAGTTGTTCGATCCTCAAAACCAGGAAGGATGCTCAAACCGTACGAAAGCTACAAGGTAGAAACATTGCACGAACAATAACTATCGAGCATTGAGACCAATTTGTCTTGAAAGTCGATGCTTCAGTTTTGAAACTACGGGAAATTTATACGATTTCGGGCCAGGGTTTACCATGGCTCAGACTATGGCCCCCCCGCCGACCCGGCCGTGCTTCAACCCTGATTCCTCAATATCATCACTTCTTCGATCTTGGTCGCGCGCCTGGAACGGTGTCTACAGGCTCGATTAAGCCGAAAAGCACGCCACCTGACACAGGAAGTTCTTCAGCTTTGCCGCTACGTTCGGAAGGGAAGCTTTGTACATCGGTTTGACGAATGGTGTGTAGAGGGGCCTTTGCTCGAGCAACGACTATTGCCTGTGTGCATGACGGACATGGTCCCACGAATCCGGAATCGCAAGCACGAGAATATCAACACAGCTGAGCCGGCTCAATACCTGCTCAACTCGGGACCGCAAGCACCCTTCATGTCAGAATGCGCCAAAGGCACCTAAAGTCCTAGAGTCCCACAGGGTGCTGTGCAAGTTACTAAAAACCTTCTCATGCAAACTCGTGAAACTCCGGCGTTGAATGCCAAGTAGCTCTGTGCAGCTTCCAAAGCCTTGGGGCTCCATGTTTCGTCCCGTGTCAGATTCAACCTCTACTCAATGTCAATTGTCTCATCAAGCAGGCTTTTAACTGATGGCGGACTCGGTACCGTTGACTGTGGTGGCAAACCGCGCAAATGCAGCCGAGTCATGACCCCAGATACATCCCGAAGCCATTGGGAAAAGGGCCCAAGCTAAACAATTGCGGCAGAAACCAAATCTTGCTTCCTTGCATACTGAACTCGTCCGTTTGCTGCAAGGGCCGACCGGGCAGCCAAGTCGCGCCGGGGTCCAAGCCAATGTCATCCTCCTCGCCTTCATCCCCCTCCTCGTTTGCCAGCTAATGGGGAGTGAGTACGGTCTCCAGCGAGCATCGAGCACCGAAGTCACCCCAAACCCAGCCAACTTGAACCTCTTGGCTGATAGGTAGTGGACTGGCTACAGATCTGGCCCACTTAAATGTGCCAGACTTGCTTAAGGAAGGACGAGCATCATAAAGGCATCGTAGCTAATCCGAGTGTGCCAGAATGGTGTTAGGAGTGTTGGTGGTCGCCGTTCGCGAAGGGACGCTACAAAGACCGTGATAACCTTGAAGGCTCTGCTAGCATCGCTAGCAGTCCTCTCAGCATCTTTGCACAAAATCTTGCCCCTTCTACATGTGCTGTCCTCGTCCCCTCCAGCGTCATCATCTTCCGGCGGGCCTCGCTGAAGATATGTTTGGCGATTGTAAGTGTTTCTTACGGGAAATTGTGCGAGGGGCCTGAGTGTGGGATGAGATCAGATTGGATCACGGATGCCGCGCACTTTCGGGCCGCAGAGGCAAAGTCGCGAAACCCTTGCTCGTGCCATGCTTGAGTAGATTCAGCCTTGCTACACCCCTGCGGCCTTGTCTGACCATTCTTGTTTTGCTACTTTGCGTACTTTTTCTACTTGATCATCCCGCGCCCAAGGGCTTTCGGAACAGAGCTTCTGCACGATGGTCCGGGCTGCCTGCAAGGAAAGGGTTGAAGTCGGGTGCACAAAGAGTATCGGCTTGCGCCGTCCCGCACAGTACTAGCTTGCAATTTAACGAGTGCCCTCATGCGACCGGTTATTTAAGCTTCGCCAATGAGGGGACGCCCAGTTGGCACGCAAACACCCTGGCGCAGCTCAGGCGACAAAGCCCCGAGAGCAGCCTCGTAAGCAGCCACCGGGTTCGTGGCCTGCAGGCAGTGAGCACTTCCGAAACATGACTCGCTATGTTATCCGTCTTCTGGAGTGGGAGTGTCAGAATGATTGCAACAGGAGTTATTCCGGACATGTACTTGGTGTACAACGAGCTGAAGCTCAAGAAGCCCTCAGTCCAATCCAACCTTGAACAGGTTGAAGGTGAGCTTTCCGTTGTCGAGATCGTGGCTCAACCCGTAGCTATACCTGAACAATATTTTCTGCACTATCCCAGAAACGTTATAGAACCCCCACTTGCAAGCTCTTACAACATGGACGAACAACATGCTGCCTGCGAGAATTGTCGAATCTGCATTGACCATGCTTGAGTTATTCTGACCCCAAACAGAGACAACGCTATGTTAGGGTAAGAAAGAAGAGGAAGGGAAGGGAAACCCCAAAAGAGGAACCCTACCCCGGACGCGAAGGCTACGCTCAGTGAAGCCTTTTTCATGCCCTTGAGCCAAACGTAGTTGGCATGCCTCATCGACTGAATGAAGAATGTAACCGATCAATCGGTGAACCCGACGGTCATCGTTCTTGGACCAGCTGCAGACGTGCGAAGCAAGCGTTGTAACTGCCACAATCAAGTCGGGCCGACTTAACCTTGCAAGCCATAACACCTTCATTAAGATTTTTGCGGCAACTTCGGTAAGTTGCCCGCGGCAATCGTCGTCTGCGGCAGGTAGTGTGCTAATGTCAAGATGGGGAGTAAGCTGAGGTTTAACCTTAAGCGAACATACAGTCTCGTACAATTGAACACACTGTTTTGAGAAATCCGTTGATTCAAGTGCTAGGGCTTTCTTTTCTTGCCAGCACACGAATCTGTGGCATCTTCCAAGTACCCTTGACAGTGCTGCGTACGGCTCGAGCTCAACCTCCTTGGAGAGGGAGCGCCAGAAGTCGTCATGCAGGGACAGACGTCCAGACAAAGTCAAGTCGTCTACGTAGACACACAAGACTAATCCTAGGGACTTGAAATAATAAACCGATGGGAGATTGGGAAACTCAACCCCGCCTAGCTTAACAAAACCTCATGGAGATGTTGCTGCCAATAGGCGGAACTTTCGGGGTGCCCACACAGCGCTTTGTGCAGGGGCGCGCATGGTTGGAAAATGTGCTTCTTGTCGAGTGGGACTAGCTCTGGAGGTAGAAGGACGTACGTGCGGTGCTTCGTCTTGAGCTTGGCTTGTGTGTAAGCTCGTACGGCATCGCTGGTCGTCACGCCATGGGACTCCAGCAAACCGAAGGCAACCGCTGTGTTCAACCCTTCAAGTGAAGATGGGGATGATGCAAAAAGCTCTTCAAATACAGCAGACATGCCGGATTGGTCCCTGATATCATCACCCCTGAAGACTATTCTTGCCTTGAGGCGCCACTGATCAGGACTCAGCTCAGATCCTTTTACGGACAAAATGACCATCAAATTTCCGAAGTGGATCACATTAGAAGTCCTAGTAGCCCATGCAAGAACATCCTTTTTGGACACTATCTCATCTTCAAGCCACGTCCCAACATCAACAAGGCCATCTTTCTCTTTCTTTATTGCCTCGTAGGCTCCTGGTTGCCCCGACCATTCTTTTCTATCGAGAAGGCGGTGAACTAAACCCGGAAGCTTAACCTCTTTCATCCCAGACTCATGCATAAGAACATCAAGAGGAACTTTGGGTTTAGAATCCTTTTCACGATGGAACTGTGGCAAGGAAGGAACACATGGGAGCGCTGGCGTCTGAAACGCTTCGGCAAAAGGGAACAGAGACATGAGCAGCACTTTGTGGAATGCCTCAGGATAGAATGCTACCCGTGGCCAAAGCGTACTCGATGAGCAATGCTTGACATGTGAGGCATGAGTGCACTTGAAAGGTTTGAAGTTCTCGACAAGCCGTTTGCTCGAAGACATGATTTGCCATGGGGCGTCAAACGGAACTCCTGATGTCGAAACCATACCTAGAGCACAGCCCTTGAACGAAACTCTGCGAAGTCTGAATTGGTCCTCGAAGGCTTGAACTTCGGGAAGCAACCAGCACGTTGAATCTTGCGGCCATTCAAGAGAAACCTCGCCGCCATTGGCAACGATGATTGAAGCAACCTGAAGAAAACCCAGCAATGTCCTCTGAGCCTTCCAGTGAACGTACCCAGAGTACTTCGCTCCCCATCCGTCCCCCAGCAAAGAACCGACTAAGCAGCATCCTGGCACAGCAGACACTTGGCTGATGAGCTGATCGATGACAACCGGATCAGACAGATCAACGCGGTCGCATGATATCGAGACAACTTGAATGCCTGACCCTTTGGCAATACCGGCAAGATTGGATCGCGAATGGGACGCGATTTCAAACAACACAAGAGCTCCAGGCTTCTGGTGTCGATACATGGCAGGCAATGCGAGAGGATCTTCGAGACCAGCCTCAGACGGTTCATAATCGGAGAGATGATCTCCGTCGGGACGGGCAGGAGGCCTAGGTAGCTGGAGCTCCTCGTAAGACAAGAACTCTTTGGGAACTGGGGTCTCGGGAGCTTTAGCTTCTCTACCGAACGCCTTCTCAAACCTCGCAATACACTCAGCATTGTGATTGCTTTTGTCGTTGTCGCAAGCATAGCACCCCGGTGTGGGACCTATCTTACGAAACCTAGCATACGTGATGTAAATCCTACGAAGCTTCTTCCTCTCACCCTGTTCTGTGAACACATGCGGCGTGAAAGGAATCGGAAGAGGTTCTTGAGCAGGCACCTCGCCTTCATCAGCAAATGTCAGCAATGCGTGCTCTGCGGCGTTGCGAAGGGGAAACACAGGGTCACCGGACCGAACATAAAGCTCAGCCTCAGGAACGCTGATCGGCTCAGTCCAAGCACCAATCTTGGAACGAAGCTTTTCTAAGTCAAGCACAAGGGTCACTGAACGATAGATGCCACCTGGTTCTAACCTCCACCCTGCGAACACGCCCGGAGCTGCGTTTGGACCAAACTTGCTTTCATGCTTATGTCGGTAAAACACAAGCTGGCCAAGGATCAGCTTTCTGATGTGAACATCATCCCTGCCTGAGCCCTCGATGTTGAAATTCCACCTACAGAGCGACTCATCTTAATCTTGCGGTGAGGGCAACGTCAGATTCAGTGCGATGGCACCGTAACGACAAGCAACGGGCCACAACTCAGGACGGATCGAAAACCCAGCTTCAAGGAACGACGATCTCACACCCTCTTGGAAAGTCCTAATCTCTCGCTCAAGTTGAGCGTTGTGGGGAAAGCGATTAGGCAATGACGGCGAGGAGATCCATCCCATTTCTTCAGCTGCGGCTTCGAATTCATCAGCTGCATCAGACACTAAGGTCACAGGCTTTGAGCAAGCTCTACGTCCAACAAACTTTCTCAGGGCAGTCACAACAGCATTGGTCGAACGATCATTCCCAGGATAAGCTGCAAACAGACCAGTGTACTTGTCCCTCAAGCACAACACAACATAGGACTTGTCCGGAGCATCGGAGTCGTCTGGCGATCTAAACACGTGAATGTGATCAGCGGCAATGACTTCTCCAAACTCTAAAGCTTCGAACGGATCAGGTTCTTCCTCGGCATCAAGAGGCTTTCTGCGCACGCGCCTTGAAAGCATGCGAGCTTGATTACATATGTCACAGAAAGGATTCTTCGGGAAGTGAAACAACCTGTGCTCAAGCGACATGGCCTGATCTCTGAGCTTCCGAATCCTTTCGGGAACCTTATCCTCTGCTCCATCATCCTGTTCAACTTCACCTACGCCTTCCGCAGATGCATCAGCGCCAGGTCCTTCGGGTGGCGCATCAGCAGCCGAACCCTCGGGAGCCTCAGCAGCATATGCTGGCAGGGGCTCTTCACAAGAGTCGATTGGGAAACCCAGAGCACGGAGCTCTTCACAGTGCGAATCTTTGACTTCAGAAGGATGCTTTGCAGAGAACAAGACGACCACAACGCGATCCCCTTTCCACGGCATCGTGGCATGGATGCAGCTCTTAGCTCGGAACCGAATGACCCCGTTCTTGAAACTAAGAACCTTTCCAAGCTTGTCAGGATCACCAGGACACGGAGTTGTCCCCCCTGATTCTTCAACCCATACACCTCCTCCTGAGAACCCACCTAAGGAGATGACGGCATTATCAAGGTTGGCATTGTGGAAGTCTTTGTGGGGACCCGTCGTAACGTTGCTGAAAATGCAGAGGGTCGTATATCCGAAGCCGGGAAGCTTCGAACATGCAAACTTGTTGAGAGCTTTGGTAACCAAAGGAAACCGGTGGGCGGAAGTCCTAAGTCCAAGATTCCCGCCCAACCGATAAAGTCCAGTTGAGAACGATTCCCCATGATCACCTCTAGCAGCAGGTTCCTTGTCAACCAAACCGAACAAATTGCGAACCGCACGACAGCTGATGTTGCCGCCAGAGCTCAACATTTGCCAGGCTCGTACTTCAGCAGGATGGTGCTCTGAGCTTTGGATGGCGCTAGGAATAGCAGCCGGACCAACGCTCTCCCCCTGAAAGGTCACTTACAGGGTTTGGTGCCCCATGAGTAAACCTCACCTGACTGGTAAAAATAGGAACATGCTCTTCAACGCGAGTTGCATAATGTCTGTACTTCTCAGGACATTGAACAACGAGTTGCGAAACGTCACTGACGAAGAAAGGCAAACTACCGGGCAGCCAGATGAAGGCCTTCCCAGAATCAACATCAATCCCTGTGCTTCTGACCAAAGGGCAACTGTCTAATATGTAATGATTAGCAAAATCCATGTTGTCAGACTCGAAGCCAAGGGTCTGCACACCAGGTTGGGGACCACCGCCGGTATGAAACGTCACGGGAGACTTAGACGCACCTAAGAACCGATCATAGGCGTCACGCGGAATCCCTTGGTCAAACAAGGCTTTGGCCGAACCTAAGTGACGACCAGCAGCGGTATCAGCGGCCCACTCAACGGCATAGGATGGACCAGCAGAGATAACAGGAGTACACAAGCTAGAGGCAGCAACAAGCGCGACGACAGCTTTGGCTACTGCTCCAGGTTTGCTCTTGGCTCCATCTTTGGCTTTGGCTTTCGACTTCGGCGGAACAGCCTTGTGACTAAACTTACAATTATCTCCATGAATGCAACCCGACGGCATCTGGAAGAAAATGCAAGGCGTCTTGGCTTTCTCAGCATCAGTCATGGCTTTCGCCTTAGCCTTAGCCTTTGATTTGGCTTTCGCATTTGCATTGGGCGCTGGGGCGCCAGGAGCAATCGGTGGAGGGGGAGGATCTGCCTTGGGCAAAGCACCTTTCGGAGGTGCAGCAGGTGGGGAAGCTTTCGGCTTACCATTTCCTCCATCTACAGCGGAACAGCCTTCGTTTTCGGAGCAGGTGTGGCAGATTGCAGAGACTTCAGCACAGACTGCGCGTTGGAGTCCTCACGGTCCTGCACGATCAGATCCTGAATCTTATCCCACAAGTAAGACCACTCACGCCTATACGAAGATGCCCCAGATTCCCTGATGTCCTCAATAACGCGCTCAAGCTTGCGAATGTGTTTCACTCGATGGAAGAGCCATTCACCGGTGAGGCGATCATCAGGTCGTTGCCCGACCGGAATTGCACTGAGGACGAGGCGAATACGATTCACAAAGTCTCTCAAGTCCTTTATGGAACTTCCACCAAGTTCGATCTGAAACAAGGTTGATGCAGTCAGAACAGAACCTCTTACCCGATCGAGGTCGTAATGTCTTGCGATGATAGACAACATCACTCGACCTTTGGGCGATTGGCCAAGTTGACTACACCTTTCAATGTAAGCAGTGATATCTTGCTCAAGTTCAGAGGACTGCTTCAACACACGCCCTGATGACAGCTCACCAGCTATCCATGCATCGAGACGAGGAAGAAGCTCCGAATCTTGCAAGTCAGCTCTCTCAGCATCAAAGCCTCTGGAAATCCAAGCCAACACAAGACCTTGACCTGAAGTATCAAGCTTGGACAACTGAACCTTGAAACCATTCTTCCAAGTTCTGAAGCTTGCCGCATCTGAAGGGACAGGTTCAAGCTTGAGATGTAAGAGAGCCCTTTGATCAACAATGTCCTTTTCCCGAAGCTCTTTGGCAGCTTCTTGATCCTCAACTTCGTCATCTTCATTGGTCTCAACAGTACCCGTAGCATTTTGACCGACCTGTTGGACTAACTGTTGGACTACCTCAATCAGCTGGTCCACGCGAGGGTCTGAACCAGGAGACGTGGGTTGAGGAGGAACAGGACATGAAGGTGCGGGCGGAGGAACAAAGGTACCCGAGTACAGCAGATGCTGAGCGGGAGGATCGGAAGCTTCAAGGTGAGTCCATGACGCTTCACTAGCACCAGACCCGGAACCGCCTAGCGGAGCATGGGGTTTCGGTGGCTTAGGAGGAGATCCGGAGGTCGAGGCGCATGGAGCAGCCGACCGAAGCCTCTGAATCTCTCTCTCCTTGATCTGGCACTCTACCCGGACTTGATTTAGCTGAAAATTCAACATATTCAACTCCGCCTTTGCCTCTGCGAGCTGACGTTCAACATATTGACCGTACTCAAACAATTCCCCACATCGAATCTCCGAAAGCCTAAGCTGTTCCCGAAGCTGATCAACAGCAGACCCTGCTTCGGTCAACACGTCCCTGACTTGGCCTTGTACCTCACTGATAGAAGCCTGGTGTAGCAGCTCCGCCTGAGCGGCGACTCGATTGGCAGCTTCACCAGCAGCAAATTGCTGAGCAGCAAGGACTTGCTGAGGCGTGGCTCCTATGTTGAGCATCTGGTTATGAACAACAGTAGGAATACCAGACTCGTCTAGAGGGGCATTGACAGCTGGATAAGGAGCTGAAGCCTTCCTAGGAGTTCGGGCTAAAGCTCTTCGATTGGCGGGAGGAGAGCGTTCACGTTCAACTAAGGCTGAACTACTCTCTGAACCCCCTGAGGCACAAGAGGAATCCCTCATACCCGGAACCGCAGCTGCGGAGGCACTGGAGATGTCAAGCAAGGAGCTTGGATCAGTTGGGGTTGATTGAGATTGTGACATGATCCAGACGGGAGGCGAAATGAAAGGCCTTTTGCGCAAGGTGCGAGGCACAATGCGCACGTTCACAGTGCGGGTAGTGGCGCTAAAGCAGCCAAGCTTACCCAGATCAAGAGACTGAAACCCGAGTCCGTGGCGCCAGGCTGCCTTTCAGACCACCCTGAACTAACTATAACGGAATTTACCCAGTAGCTGAGCACAATGTCCCGAATACAAACCAGAACCGTACTGCCACAGGAATCGCCAGAGGAGGCGCTCAGCGCCGAACAACTGGACAAACACTTCCAGACCTTTAGGCGTCTGGGAACCACTTCTGCACTTGGCCCCTGATAGCCCCAGCACACTCCGGAAAGCTGTCAAAGGAAGGCACGGGAGCACTCGGGAAAATAGTGCGCTGCCCACGACCTCCTCTGGATCTCTTCCTAATAGCAATATGCAGAGGAACCACGTGCTGGGAACCCGCCAGTTCGTCGCAGACGTCTGCGGAGTCGTCGACGTGAATAATGGGAAAACCAATCTCCTTTGAGAGTTTCTCTAGCACTGATCGTTTCCCCAACGGGCCCGTGGCCTTCCTCGTAATGAAGATAAGGCAAAGAGGCGTTTCCCCGATCTGAGTGAACAATGTATCACACGAGTTCACTGTTGTCTCAACCACGTGCTTCTTGGTATCCTCGTGGTGACAATAACTGCAAACGAAGAATAAACCCCCGTAGCGCGGAACCAACGAATGAAGATCGCGCAAGGCGGTCAAACACTCCGAAGGAAACTCAGGCCTTGGATCCGTCCAGCTCGTCGACTTGTTGTGATAGCGATCCAACACTCCGTGAAAATCCAAGCTCAAGGCGAAAGAGAATTTCTCAAATGCCGGCTCAGTAAGCTTCACCTTAACGCCCTCAAAGTCCAGCACCTCTGTCTGAAGGGAACGGAAGTCGATAACACGAGGAGCTTCTGTCACCTGAGATGGCGGAGGATGCGAAGGTTCCTTCGGCACACGCGGCGGAGCCTTCGGAGGCGGTTTCGAAGGTTCTTTAGGCGCACGAGGCGGAGCCTTCGGCGGAGTCCTTGGCACACTTGACGAAGATGGAGTAGACGATGGCGGAGCTCGCACAGGCTCTGTAGCTCCACGAGGCGGAGCCTTCGGCGGAGTCTTTGGAGCCGGAATGCCTGATGGTAGTGAAGCTGAAGGAGTCAACGAAGGTTTTGGAGTCGGTGAAAGCTTCGGAATTGAAGAGCTCGATGACGAAGGAGCGGGTGGAAGTGATGGAGCAGCTGTCTTCGCCTTCAAAATAGGAGTTGAAGGATAAAGTCGATGAAATGGACCCGAAGACGTAGAAGGAGGCGGAGTTTCCGGGACCAGCTCAAGACCTTCCTCCGATTCCTGCTCGTCAATCACGATCACTTCTGATTGCTCTTCCACAGCCTGAAATGGAGCCGTCTCCGGACGTCGCACCACAGCTCGAGTAGAGCCGTCAGGGCGACGGAAGGGAATCTCGGACGGATCAGTATAAATGCCCAGATCCTGATCGCGCAGAAAGATATATTGCTGATATGCTTTCCGCTTCCTCTGGGCTGCTGCACCTGCCCGAGTACCCCTCACACCCTGAGGCCTTGGAAGACGCTCTTCCTCACGAGGCGGATTATCGTCCATGGATCTACAATCCTAGACCCTGAAACAAACCACCCAAGAGAGCTTACGGCTGATAACCAGTTATTCTGACCCCAAACAGAGACAACGCTATGTTAGGGTAAGAAAGAAGAGGAAGGGAAGGGAAGGGAAACCCCAAAAGAGGAACCCTACCCCGGACGCGAAGGCTACGCTCAGTGAAGCCTTTTTCATGCCCTTGAGCCAAACGTAGTTGGCATGCCTCAGGCTGTAGACGTTACACAGTCAGGTAACATTATTTTACATGGAGGTTGTTCGCAAATCTTCAACTGCTTGCTCCGAAACTTGCCGCAAGACGGCTCTTTGCCAGTGACATCGGAACCATGCAGCACGTGGCGGAGCGTTTTCCCCTTGCATGAGAAGGTTTTTTTGGTTAAAGTAGGCCATGCAGTTTGGCGGCGCAAAGCCCTTTCCGCGAATCTGCCGCCAGAAAGGTCCCTCCAATGCAGTGATGTACTCAATGGCAACCTGCGCGAAGCTGATGACCAGGCGAAGTTTTTGAATGGTTCACATTGCACAGCAGGCTGGGAAGAAGCTTGGGGACTTGCAAGTGTTAGAATCGCAAGTTGGCAGGACATCCATCTCTCAATGGGACAAAGCGACCAGCTTTGCCTCGCAAACACACAACAGGTAGCAGCAGGGTTGTAGCAGACTTGTTGTCGTCCTCGTGTTTACTGACATCATCGGTAGTGACAGGCTGCTGCGTCGAGTGAAAGCTCTTGAAGTACAGCAGTAGTGGCAGCAGCCACATCAACAGTGAAGCAGGCTGCAGCAGCAAGAGAGGCGCCAGGCAAATCCACAGCTCTGATTGAAGAAATACTGCCGCTCTGTTCTACACATCCTCGCTGTGTTGCACCTGCAAAGACTTGAAGTCCATGGCTCAGGCTGAACCCCTTTACCCGCCCAGTGGCCAAAAGTGAAGGTAAATCCGGCGAGCGCGGGTCGGAGAAGGATGTGCGCTCAAGCAGCCAGTAGTTCGACTCCTCACGACATGCATCAGGATTGCAAGTCTAATCTCTTCCAAAACGCATCCTGTTGCAAATCCTTGCGTGCAGCCTGGGGATGTGCCACGACCCCAGCCATCTGCTGGATAGATGAGAAAGAGAGAGAGAGAGAGAGAGAGAGAGAGGTAACAAAGCAGACTCCGGACCTCCCCAAGCCGGACTCTGAATCTGCAAGTTCCCTGCAGTCCTCGGCTGAGCTGGTGATGAGGCAGCCGACGGTCGACCTTCGCAACTTTGCGTCGCAGAGCTTCTTTATGCGCATCGAGCCCCAGAGCTCTACAGCCTCCCATGTCTAGTAGTAGCATTACAGACATGTCTTTATTCTAATGCTGAGAACACTCATGGGCACCCGGCCCATCGGGAGGCTTAAGCGCATCCAGAGCCTGAGAACGGCGATTAGGACAGGACAGGGCAGGGCGATATTCGAAGTAGCTTCGGGAGGGTCTGAAGCTGGGCTCGCTTTCACTCAGCTTTGGGCTGCAAAAAGCACAGTTTTCCTAGGACGTGGCGACAACAGAGGGTACTTTTTGAGGCACTCGAGACCAAAAGACGGCCTGGACGCAGCACATGCACAATTTCAAAAAACGCCGAAATGCTCAGGTTAGCTCAGCGACGTATTGCCAAGCTCCTTTCCCGAAGCCCGTCAACAAGGAAGTAGCAGCGATGCTTTAATTAGCATCCGACAAAAACGAAACTTTCCGACCGGAGTGCATGCAGCTCCCTTGCAAGCAAAGGCCGCGCTGGCGAGCCGTTGCTATAACCACCTTGGGCCAAAGCAGGACAGCTTCCACTGCAACCCTCGAGCTTGAGAGGCTTCTCATTTCCCCAGCCCTCCATCCATCGACTCCGGACACAGAAGCCGCGTCAGCCTTGGACAGGGCCCGGCCTGACCCCCCAAATTTCGCCGCCCATGGTCCGCTCGACCAGGGCCCGAAGACGTCGCCCAGTGCAGCCACATCCCCGGCCACCCGGGCCTCTCAAGTTGGAGTGCTGTCCAGCACAAGAACACCCTATGGACCCTCTGAATCGCGCTACCGCCGAGTGCTAAATTAGCCATTGGCGCTTGCTTTGAGTTCCCACTTTCTGGCTTGGGGACTCCGCTGCGTTCCCCTACTGTAAGGCAATACAACATTTTGCACATACCCTCGCCTTGAAACTGCATTTAAAATTCCCAGCCCACGCTGTGCCATGCTGCTCCACCGCTCGGCAGCCCCTAACAAGAGAGCCCAAAGAATTCCAAGTACGCCTGGCCGGCTGCGACGAGAAGAGTGCTCCGCAGCGTCGCAAGCTCCTGGGCTTCTTCGTAGCGGTTGTTTGCTGTCTACATGGCCTTTGACCTTGCAGCAACATGAAAATCAAGACAGGAGATGAACTGGCCAGAATTTGAGAACCTCGAATTACCACAGCTCCGGTGGAGGTCGAGCCGTCTGCGCCATCTTAGTTGATTAAATGACCAGGGGGCCGAGGCTACTAGCCCCAGAACGGCGCGATCCTCTGCCACTGCCTTGCGAGGCCAAAGCACATCACTCTCCAAGAAGGGGCAGGTACAGACTTAAAATCCCACTGCAGAAGTCAGTTACGAGGGGTCAGGAAAGGCAGGCTTCTGCCACAAAAATTCACGGAACAGTTGTAACTTCATCCCGCAGCTGGCCTTCAAAAGTTGTTCCACGCGGAAAACAGACCTGGGCTGTCATGGAACTCACAACAAGGAGGACACTCTGCCCCCACAGGCCCAGACCACATCAAACGGCTGCATTTGCAGCAACAAGGCTGACGGGCACACAAGCCCTAATCAACATCTCAATCCAGCAGCGTTGTGCCCACAGCACAGTCGTCCGAGAAGTCGAAAGCGGCAACGGCGAGACGCATGAGCCCCTGACACGACAGTCTGTTGACTCCTGTTCGCCTTCTGTGCCTGCAGTAGAGATCTAGGTGAGGAGTGCGGTTGACAAAGGGCACATATCTACTGGCGGGGGACAGTCCTGATCCCCGAGATCGGGCAAGCTTCAGTTTGCAACCGTTCTTTGCATACATTCGGTACTCACCAGTCTTGCGTTTGCGATGGCGGTAATGATTGAATGGTACGGGTGAGCTTGCTTGAGGTGGTTGTGGCTGTTGTTTGTGGTGCTGCTGGTGGTACAGTCGCTAGTCAGACTGGCAAGGCACCTTGCCATTCCGCTTGTGGTTGGGAATGTCGTTGAGCATTCTCTTGGCTGCGATTTGGAGGCGATCCACGGAGAACCTTAGCTTGCTCAGGGCTTTGGGTGGACTGTGTCGGAGTTAGTGGCCCCCCGCGCCTGAATGAAGGAGGCAAAATGCACGCATAAAGGGACATCCGCGGAGTGGGACAGGGTTTGACACACTGCCACTTTCCGCGGTCTAGGAGCTCTGCATCAGCCACCAGCCGTCCCAGCAGCTTCGAAGCTTCAGCGTAGCGGCTGCGCTCAACCTCTTGGAGCCCGGAGAGAGAGTTTGTCAAAGGCCCCGGCAGACTTACGAGACAATGCCTGCCGCGCAGTCTGAGTTCCCAAAGCCGGGCTAGAAAACCGGGCCTCTGCAAGCCGCCCTGTCCCAACCCAGCATTAACACCAAAAGAAAGACTCACGAAGGAGTTCTCCGTCATATTACGTACAGGATGCCTCAGAGGCTTCTGACATATGACATATCCGCCCGCCTTCAGCGACATGTGGAGCATGTTCCTGGTGACGTGCTAACAGTATCTCTCCATGTGCTCTTCTGTTGTTCTCATCTCCCTGCAAGAAACACTGGGATTCAGCAGAAGTTGGCATAGTTCTCTCTCTCTCAATAGGAGGTACGTGCCCTTTTTACAGCGGTGCTCCAAGGCCGAAACCCAGGAACGCCTTTGGACCATGTGTGCTCTGCTCCAGAGCATGCTCCCCCAAAACACAAGTGACTGGACTTGCAGTCACTGTAGTCTTGTAGTCCTTGCCTCTCCGTTCTCTCAGTTCTCTTCTCTTTCTCCGATATTCACGTGTTCATCATGCCATGGCTCCCTGCACGGCCGGTACGGAATCGCCCGCCGCCGACTCCCACAGAGCAGCTCTGATCCACCACGGTGTCCTCGTTGCGATGGGCTGGGCAAAAAGGAAAGAAAGACTTGGAAAGAGCACCATTGTCGGGCTTAAGACCTGAAGCCTTGCCACCCTATCCTGCGTCAATTGATGTACTTTACGGCTGCCAGCCGTGCAGCGTGTAATGGGAGACAAACGAAAGCATAGCAAGCGCGCTTCTGACAATGGCTTAGCAGCAGCTTTGTGGCATTCCGATCTGAAACCCGGAGATTGTGTTTGATGAGTTACATGCCTCTTCTGCCACGGCACCGTCAAGAGCTGCACGACTGCCTCGTAGCTGATGGCCTGCGTCCGATGTCGTCGGAAAAGTCGGCAGCTTATGGTCAAACCAGGGCGCTTGGTACCAGGATCCAGGCTGCATGGTCAGTGCATGTTCAGATGTCTAGAGTCTTCGGATGCAGCTCTGGTCCTACGAGTGTCGTATGGTTGGGATTCCTTAACAACGCCTGCACGGCCTATAGCTTGTACGAGCCAGCCCACACAAGCCGTCGTGCCGACCAGCCATGGTTGTAGATTCCTCGTGCAAAACTGTTACAAGCTACCCACCGCCTGGCCTCTCCGAGTGAGCTCTTCGCCAACGGCAGTTCAAAAGCGGTGTCAACCCAAAGGGGCAGCAGCTCCTTCAGAAGTGACAACAATTGAGGTAATGGAAAAACCCGACCTCAACCACCCCTCCACACACCCCAATCCATTTTGAGGCTGCCCTCACGCTGAAGAGGTCCAGCTGCCGCGTTGTGAGCCCAGCCAAGGGCAGCATCACGTGGCACTTGACGAACTGAGCTCCTTCCCGCTGCAGTAAGCTACCCTCACTCTCCGGAAAGGCCGGTGCGAAAGAGTTTGTACATGCAGGCGGGTGCTGCGAATAGCCGGGCTCGAAAGCAAGCCTATGAAATCGAGGGAGCTATCCAGAAGATGTTTGCAAGCTCAACATACCGGTACGTTGCTTGTTTTCTGCCGAAATCCTCGAATCTCGGAATCGGTCCTGGGCTCTGGCACATCCGCCACTGCAACTAGCACCAACTAGCTGGTTCGACAGTGTCCCCTTGCTGTTCTGCTGCTTCTTGTGCTGCCGTTGTTTCGTCGTTATCAGGGAGCTTATTATGATGCAAAGCTTCTCCAAAACCTGCCAGGTTGCGGTTCTCAACAGAAAACTTTATTGTCAACTGCTTGCTGCTAGCACTCGTTCAGCCTGGTACGTGGTCGAATTGGAAAGCCAGCGATGGCAGTTGATTCGAAGGCGTCTGTCCCAGGAGCGCCTGATTCGTGCACGCTTGGGATGGCTTGAGATGCTTGTGACAGAAAACAAGCTTCATGGGAGCATCATAGGTGCTTTATCTTCTTCAATAAGTGTGTGGCGGTGTCCCGGGCACACCAGGCTAAACAAATCCTTGACCAACAAATACTTCACCTGCCCTGATAAACCTGGCACTGCGATCGAGAAGTCGCATCCACTCAGGGTATGGGGCTTTGATACTCGCAGGTCCCAGGTGTGCACCTTGAGCTTGGCTGCCTCTTGACCATAGACCTCCTCCACGACTCCACTCTTTACCGTCACCGTGGAGACATCCTAGGATGAGGTCACGTCAAACAAGGATTCCAAATAAACATCATGCTTTTGGCGCTCTCGACCGAGTCAGGGGAGGTTTCGGAAGGACTAGACACACTCTGTAGGCACCTGGGCACATTGGCCCATCGTAGACATTAGCTACCTCTTCAATCGGCGACTCTAAGCGCTTCAGATACGCGTTCAGCGCTCCAACTGCAAAGACACCACAAAGCTCCTGTGTAAGCGTTCAATCTGGCACGTCTGCAAAAAAGCGCCAATTTCGCTTGATGCCCACCACGGACTAGCTTCCAACCAGTAATCTTCACACAAACTTACATGGGCGAGGCCATCCACATAACCTGCCGGCTCCGTCTCATTGCTTGACCACCAATCCATCCCCGGCTTTTTCGCGCCTCCATGCCTCCGTAGCCTTTCCAGTCTTTCGTCAGTCAGCTTTTCCACGGATCTATCACTCTCACAGTTTTCTGTAGCTGCAGACGTGTTGCAGACCATCAGCTCGGAACAAAACAGGGGTCAATAGTGGCAGCCTAGTTGAAACTAGACATCACGTACTTTGCTTCTACTTAGTGCTTGCTTACGGAATGAAGCGATGTACGAAGTCAAGCTGGGTTCTTGCGGCACGAACCATGCACTGAACAGAAACACGCGCTTCGCCATCACACGACTTCCTTGCAAAAAAAGGCATCCACGCACTAGCGCAAACAGGCGGCGATGAGCTTCACTTTCCTGAGTCATCTGCGAGTGAAATCTTGATGTCTTGAGGACTACCGTGTAGTGAGTCGAAGTACAGCGCCTCTCTCAAACCGGCCTCAGAGCTGCCCTGCTGAACCCTACAGAGCACGGCAAAATGCTCAACGCAAGACCTGCAGCCCAACGGCCCCACATCCGGCACTTGGAATTCGGCGGACACCTCCTCAGGCGTGTCAACCTCTGATAGGACCATGGTCCCAGATAGGTTCGGGACTTGATTTTGCTTCGTTAGATGCTACTGCAAGCAAGACAAACATTGATCACCTCAGATGTAACTGGTCCCGGACGCGTCGACGCTAGACCGCCAGATGCAGCAAATGCTAGAAAAAGGGCTTGGGAATCGCGTACGCGAGAAATGCGGCGAGCAGCATCGTTCTCTTCTTCTGCTGCAGCCACAGTTTCGCCGGCCTTTTTGCATCCCTCCTGGCAGCAAACCCCAGAGGACTGGCAGTGGGAAGTCAAGTTACAGGTGAAGGTGCACTGTGGCGCAGTACGTGATCTGGCATCGCCCCTGGCAGGGTATACATTCGAACAGTGCAAATACGGCCAGGTACATGTTCCTCTGCTTCCACGTGACGGGCAATGCTTGGATGCTCTTTGGGCAGACAGGCTTAATAGCTTATAGCTTCAGGCGGCCACTCCTTTTCCGAAATACGGTGCTTGAGGCAAAGCAGTTTGCAGAGCCTTCAACACCTTAGGCTGAGTCGTCCTCACCAAGCGCCTTCTTCTGAGCTTCAATGCGTGCAGCGTCCTGCACTCGTGGAATCCAGCTTCCCACATCCGAAACGGGTCTAGAAGAGTCCTGCCTAGTTGCTAGCCAGTTCCATTTACTGCGGTGACTGCAGAATGTCTGCACAGGAAGTGCTCCCGTCCTCCGATTGTATCGTCTCTCCACACTTCTTGGAGGGGAAGCCGCAAACTGTAACACCTCCCACATGGGGTTCGCAGTGGCCCTCTTACAAATCGACTGCAGATGGAGAGATGCCCGTTCTTCGCCCAGACAGAACTTGACTCAGTTCTCCCGTCTCTCCCATAGCACGCCTAAAACGCAAAGAGCAAGAAAACCGGATGGCCGACTGGCTCCTGCTCCAGTCCCGCCTGGATTGGAGGAAGAGACAAGGAACTCCTGTGCACCGCGAGACATGACAACACATTCTGGTTGATTCGGAAAAGGTTCCATGGCGTCCATACCCGGGAAATGGCTCCAAAAGGCTTTCAGAACTGGATGTCAGCTTGACATCTATACCTGCTCTGGGGGCTATCGCACGCGCAAAGGAGCTCCTTGCAAAGTGCCGCCCACTCCGTCGCCTTCCACTCAAGCAGGGCCTGAAAGCACGTGAACCAAGTTTTGCAGTAGGCCGGCCCAATTTCCCCTTTTTACGGGCTCCTTCCCCAGAACACGGCAGCACCAACCAAACACAAAACCATGTCCACGGGCAGCATTGATCGAGAAGCCGCGCTGGAACCATCAACGGTCGCAACATTTCAAACTTGCTACGGGTCGCTCCATGCACTCCGACACAGCCCCTGCAAAACATGATAACCGTCGCTGCTCAGAACACCAAGCCATGTGCTGGCTGCAAGGTACATCTTACCTTACTTGGCCCCCCTCTTGGATTAGACAAGTAGAAGCACCGTCAAGCCTCGAGAGCTGCCGGCGCGTCAAGTCGAGCCCGAACCTTTGTTTGCCACCCATGGACACACACACACACACATGATCAAGCTGCCCTTGCAGGCATTGCGAATACGTTGCTATGTCACTGCTGTTGCTTGTTCGAGGATCGCAGATGCCTTCTATGGTGATGCCGCTTTCTATGCTGGCGGCTCCTATAGCCTGCAGAAAGAAAGCCCGGTCACACCAGCTTCCAGGTGCGAGCCAACCAGCCGTATCGCCCTTGTTGTCCGAAACTCCCGGCGCAAAGTCCTGGCAAGCGCGGAGGCTCACTCAGGTTTATGCCCCAAGCCGCCAGAAGCAGATCGTGGCCCGATCAGACGTACACAGACTCCAAGCGACAAGGATAGACTGGTGGCAGTCGTGCGGAGTGCTTCATCGTTCTGTATGCCGAGCAGATATGCGCAAATTGTCGTAAGCGAGCAAGCAAGGCCGGTGCGTAGCAAAAGGATCCGATGATCTCCCCGCTGAAGAGATCCTCTCGATTTCAGACGATGCGGTGTCTGTGCAGCTCTGGTGTCCATGAAACCCAAGGCGCCGACATGGTGAGCACTTCGGTTAAAGTTTCACGGGTAGAGGGCGCAGAAGTGCTAATTTCGAAGCATGACAGGACATGGGAAATCTTCCCACTGACCCGAGGGTATTGAGCAGCATGCTCAAGTCATTGTACTGCAGCACTACCATCGATTCGCCCATACTTCGCAGTTTGGGAACACCGGTTCAGGCTGGACCCCATGCAGAGCATGTCGACATGCATGCATGTGCACCAATGCCTAATCACATATAGTCATGCCGTATACAAGGGGTTCATTTGCAGGTGTATTGCTACTGCCTGTGCAACATTTGCAGACATCCGGAATACTTGGTCTGGTATCCGATCAGTCGTGCGGATTCGACTCCACAGCGGAAAGGTGACGGCGCTGCTGCTGGCGGATCACGCTGCGGATCCGGGCCTTGCAGACGCCCCAAAGCAGTATAACTACAATAACGGGTGGTCTCTTCCTGCAAGCATTACAACACAAGGCCGAAAACGTAACCAACAAAGACCCTGACAGAAAAAAGTTATCTTCGTCTTTGAGCGCTCAGGACTCGACCCGCTTAGATCCACCAACCAGTTGGGCAAAGCTGCAGTGGACAACCATCACAGCAATGACATGCAGTCGCCGAAACCTGCAACCTGCTGCTGGCGAGTTGGCCTCAACCTGCACCCGAATCTATTTTGTTCGAAACACGAGCACAGCTCCAAAACAGGCAGGATGCGACATCAATTCCGGATCCGTCTTCCGCAGCTGTCGCGGTGAAGACTGCTTGAACCTGACAGCGTGACAGACTTGGACTTGAGGCTGGCTCAGGGCTCGGACAGTAGCCATGATCATGCTCGGGGAGCACACCCAAGACCCAAAGACCGAGGGGTGTTGAGCCTCTGCTGTGACATCGCGTTTCGAAAGCTGCTCCACGTCGCAGCTGTTCAAAGTGATGTTGATGAGCTCCTTGAGCACTCACACATACACACACACACCCTTTCTTTCGCCAGGGCTAGGGCGTAGGGGTAAAGTTTACACACACACACACACACTTACACACACTTTTTCTTCTTCCGCCGGGCATGAGGGGCTGTTGAGACCCCTCGGCCGCTAGGGCCGCCCCATATTTTGTGGGGACTTTGGAGGAGTGTGAGAGTGTTAAGTGGTTGTTTTCCCCCGGGTGGATCATGTTTCTGGTGAGGTTTCTTTGTTACTTAGCATATGCTTGATGATCCCCCGGGTGCCTGTCACCACTTTTCACTGACAGTGCTTGGCAAGATCGGTCACTCAGCCTCTTCAACACAACTCCACCTACCAAGTGTAAACTACAACGTAGATCGTTCCCAACATGACCGATCTTCAGGTGTAAAGTCTACAGAACACACACACACACACACACTCTCTCTCTCTCTCTCTTGCTTGTTTGCTCTGCTTCCCTCCCTCCCTCCCCTACCTCTGTCAACATCACAACTGATCTGACCTGCCCCCGCCCAACTGCAGTGCACAAGCTTGAATTTGCACACAATCTCAGGAAGCGGGCAGATCCCAAGCACTTGGGTCATCTGCGATCAGACAGAAATCATGCTCTTCTACACCGGTTGACATGCCCCGCGCATCAAGCATAAAGACCAAGAATGCACAGGCAGCTTCCAACACTCAACTTTGCATCGCATCACAGCAAGCCTCGGGGCTGTAGCGATTCTCACACTATGGTCATGCATTCGCTAAAGTGCGCAGTCAAACCCACATGTAACGAGGTCCCCCTCCTTCTTGTAGTCGTGAAGGCCCTCACCAATCTTTCCGCAAAGCGGAGGCACCTGAGGAGAGTCGATCGTCGGAGCGTGCCACCGGGGCAATGTCATGCACAGTGCGGTCTCTTGATTGGAGGGAGAAAGCTTGAACTAGCTGCGATATAATTCTCGTGAGCGGAGGTGGTGTTCGTGCGCATCACAAGCGGTCACCGTGCTATTACGTCGCGGGACCCTGCGAATTATGCCCATGCAAGACCAGCGGCAAGCATCCCCAAATGGCCCAAATCCCTGAGTCGGTAGAGAAGAAGCCCGAATCAAGCCTTGAGCAGACCTCACTTGCTGCTGCAGCAATCGCCTTGAAATAAATGACAGTCAGGAACCGTTTCAACCAGCGCTTTCCGCAGCGGGGAAATCGAATCCTCACCTCGGCACTGTCGAGGCTGCAGAACAGTCCGAACGTCTGATCAGATCAGATCAACATGCCTTAAGTGTGCCTCACATACTTAATCGCGTCACTCAGTGTGAGATTGATAACGAGAATGTCTTATCAATACGACTTGTGGCTATGCCACTACTGGTCGTTTGGATTCCAACTACAGCATTTGTGGTTCGTGGTGGCTGCAGATCGTCCGAAGGATCACATTTCAGGCCTTACCATCGGGGCTCCGTATGCTGAAGCTTACGAGCATTAGAAAACGAACTGACGCTGACAAAGGAAAGGACGTTGCCAATGAAGCTTGGAGCTGATTTTTGTTGAACCCGATGCGTATGGCATCGTTGCCCCCTGCCCTGAGCAGAACATCCCAAACTGAAGTCTCATCGGCCCCAAGCCCACTTGGCATTTACTTGTGCGAACATTGTGATCGCACTTCTCGCACTGCTGGCACATGCCGCATGATTACAGTTTACAACTTCACGGATGGCCGCTGCGAGTCAAAACTTAACTGGCCAATTCACAAGTCAGGCATGCAAAACGGATGCAGGGTGTATGTCCATGGCGAGCTGAGACCGCGTGACATATCACAGGGTTAAAGAAAAACACTTAAGTAATCTGGCATACACCACCTACCACATGGCGGATACTGTACAGTGCAATTGGAGTTTCCATCATCATGTGCACCGGCTTGCAGCCATCCCTTCAAGCACCAGCTTTTACAAGCCGAATTTGTTCTGGTGTCCACCATAACCTCAACGTCACCAGAGAGGCACATCTCGCGAATCTCGAAGGTCTGAAGGGCCTCTCTCCGCCCGATGATCCTTGCAATGAACTTGCCAATCCGTGGCAGCGCAGAGCACCAGTGCCCCTCTGGCTCACCAGTAAAGCAATCGAAGGCGCTTCCGAAGCGTCCATCCCAAATCTTACTTCCCCGAACCTTAGCAGCGACACTTAAGGATGTGCCCGTCGGAGGGACCTTGTCTCCAACAGCGAAGAGCTTTCCATCTTGCGTCTTCCCAACCCACATATCGCATCCCGCAACTCCGTAAGCCCTCAGCTCGCCGGGTTTCAGGTCGCCGCCCCGAAGTCCGGGCTTGAGCCACTGACTTGGGACGACGGGCAGGATTCGTGAATCCTTTCCATGTTCCCCCGGCTCCTTCTTACGGAAGGCTGTTCCCACAACGGCAGTAAAACGCACGGCGGAGGATGTCGTCACTTGCTGGCGTTGGCTGCTGTTGGGCGTTGCCCGTCGCATCACTGGAGCTGCACGCAGGCGACCAGATAAAACGGAGCAGAGCGGCGCCGAAAGCATTACCACCATGGCTTTGGCCGCTCTGGCCACTGCACGTGCCATCTTATTCACAGGGGAGGAGCAGCTGCCTGGCAAAACACCTGTTGCGATGCTGGCTACCTTGCCCACAGTTTGGAACGCTACGTCCACCTCGATCTCGTTCGTTCAAACTCGGACCGAAGAACACATGCAACATATCCTTGAGATCAAACTCTGCGGCAGTAAGCTTGGGCTGTGCAAAGGGTGAGGGACACTGCCCTATGCGCAATAGCACAGATCCTGAAACCCCCCTTTGTCCTGACACCTCCCACGTATTGGAGACAAGTAGCACAGGTAGGCCAGAAGCACCTGCCGCCGGCATCTCTTGCAGGCTTACTCTATTTTATATGCCTCCTATGTAAGTCATTGCCCCGAGGCCTGTATCAGCTTGGATAGGCAGGGATGACCGAACAGGTTGCAGATGCTCTGTCAGAAATCATTACGGCAGACATGAGATCGGAAAACGGATGGCACCAAGAACGCCAGCTGGAACATGATCAATAGGCTCTGCAATTGAACTGCTGTCCGAGAATTCCAAAACTGCCTGGGACACCGTCAAGACATCCAGAATCCAGACAAACCAACAGCGAAAATACATGGTGCAATAAACAACAAAAATGGAAGAACACAGGCAACAATGGGGGTTGGTTGAATCTCAACTCCAAACCATTGTTGCTTGCCAGAGGGGGGGCAGAGACAGAGAGAGACAGAGAGAGACAGAGAGAGAGAGAGAGAGAGAGCGAGAGAGAGCGAGAGAGAGAGAGAGAGAGAGAGAGAGAGAGAGAGAGAGAGAGAGAGAGAGAGAGAGAGAGAGAGAAGAAAGAGGGAGCGAGAGAGAGAGTCGACGCATCAAGCAAATCAAGAGACGTATGAGGTTTTGATAGGGTTCTAAGTTTGGTCTGCTCCATGTCTCACAAATATATGGGACGAAGACGGGGGAAATGCAAACTCTGCGGAGAGCCCAGTGGAGCTACGCCAGGCTTGGTCTGGACTAGTTACAAGCTACAAGATCTCTGCGGCCAAGCATTGCATTTGGCAAAAAGAGGTGTGGCATGCCTTCAGCGCGACCACCTTTTCAAAGTCCGTCCATGCTGGCCCAGGCCAGCATAACTCCACGACGCCTGACAGGCTGAGTGGGTTCGGAGCCACTTGGATCAAAAGCCAGATGTGAGAAACACAAGGGAACCCTTGTTTCGCAGGCTGGTGTGGAGGCTTCTTGACAACGTCTAAAGTCTAAACTGTCTACCCACCAATGCCTGGGCCCTTCAGACCAATCCCTCGGCCTCCACTGGTTTCATCCTCAGCGGGAAACTCCATCCTGGCAAGACAGACAGGAGGGAGCATCGTGTGAAAAGATGTGCGTGGCGACATGAAAAAACCGCGCAAGAAGACGAGGCACAAGGTTCTCAGACAATGCCTTTGGCCCAGACCCCTCTGTTCTGCAATCTCACATTCGGCTTGGAATTCAGCCCGTCACCCCCACTCCTTGCATGTTGATGTCACAGGCCTTTCGAAATCAGCACCAAAGGCCACATGTACATGTCCAGACAACTCTGGCTCTTACCACTCACGATGACATCCTGCGCCGAAGCAAGTGGCCTTCTTTTCAACGCCCTATACCCACCTGCCTCACCCTCTGCTGCTCCTTGGGCATCGGCACTGGGCCGGAGAAGGGCCTGCGCATTCCATTGTCCATGGCTCTGACAGAGGGTGGGAAGGCCAGATGTGAGGTGGTCCCAGCAAAGGCATCTCCTTTGAAGAAGCAATCGTCGAGAGAATTGTCAAGAGCCGAACCAGCACCCAGCCTGCTGAATTATCCTAAGCAAGCTCTGCCCCGGCCGGAAGAGACCACCTCTGGACCTGGTAAACGACGCTTTCAAAACTCCCGGAAGACCTCTCTAAAGGCGGCAGCTTCTGGATCCTCGGCTCGAGTGTGAACCGGTGCAGTAGCATCAAAGGCGACAGCTAGAAGAGGAAGAAGCATTGCTTTCATGGTGATCGCTTTCGCCGTTTTTTGTGTGTCAAACTCCAACCTCCGCATGTGTAAATCCAAACGGTGAGGCCTTAGGAAAAGGCTACTGGTACGATCTGCATCAGGCATCCGCTCCGATGCCAGGATGGAAGCCACAGTTGGTTGGCAGGCCTGCCGGAAAGGCAAAAAGTCTCGCAGCTCCGGAGTGTTTTCGCTGATCGTTCCGGTCCCTCTCTGAGCATGTCAGGGGATCGCATTGCACAGTTTGCTGGCGAGGTGATGTCCTCTTGACTCTGGGACTCTGGGACGACCCAATCTTTGGGGAGCTGGCGTCATTCAGGCTTTCTGCCAGGGGCTGCTACGGCCAAAGAACATGAAACACCCCGTGCCTGGCAGAGATCTTTAAAGTCCACCTGCGGCCGACGAACCCGTGTCATTTTCGACCCTGGTTGGAGGTGACACATACGAGACAAACAGCAAGGGATTAGAGATACAGTCGATTGACAAGGCGATTGTAGGCATGACTTCATCGACGTGAAACAAGTGTGAGTACGAAAGAACTGAAAGGGAAGACACTATCACTAGGGAAACGAGGCAAAAAACTCCCCAAATGAGTGGGGCCTTCAAGAGCGAACTTTACAAGGAATTCGAGGCCCGAGGCCCCAGGTCAGAAATTTGCTGATTTCGCTTCAGGTTGCCGTGGACTTGTCAAACTCTCTGCGGATGCTGATGCGACGCACTTAGCCGATAAGTGGTTAAGCACACTCTCTCCCACTCCCCCAATCACCTGCGAGGCCCTCGCACAGAAACATCACCATCCGGTGTTCTTCTTCGTCTCCCTTCTTGACAAGCTGATTTTTTGGTCACTCGCTCTCGGCAGGCAGGCGAGGTTTCAGAAGTTACTGAGCATGCTGATTACACCCGCCCACGATAACTACCCAGGCAACTCGGGCTGTCCTCTAGTAGCAAAGGATACTATCAAATCGCACCCAATAGAAGCCTGCCGCAGAAGCAAGTCTGGCTGCCTGCTTAAGCAATTAACACGGCCGGCCCCACCAGTTTCTCATGGCCCCAGACTTCAAATCGGAATTTTCGTAGCCATCAGCCTGACCGGTGACGATGACGCACAAGTTGTCCGGCCTGCGCAGGGCGATGCTGCATATTTTGGTGTGAACTGGCTCAGAAGCACTTCCGGACTCACTGACGCGACAGAAGTCAGTTGGAAGTCCGGGATAGGTACAGAAGCATCCGCAACCCTCAGAGCTGGGCAGTCCACAAATCAACGCCCCACAAAAGCTTGGGAGAGGCTGTGGATCCTTGGCTCGCTACTCCACGGTGCCCACTCAACCGAAATGGTAATCTGAGCATAAGAACCCCGTGCCGCACCGGTAGTAGGCCGTGTGGTAGTCCTGCACCGTCTTGTTAGTCAGGTCGCGCAGCTCCTTTCAGTGCCGTGTTGTTCAGCATTTGGGCTAGACGGCTGGACAGCAACTGGTCAGGCGAGCAAACTTCGAGCAATTGCAACATCCGTCCTTGAGCCTCCCACCTGTTTCTGACTTGTAGCTGCAGCGACCGGGATACCTGAGATGAGAGTAGGGATACATCTCTGGGGGCCCATGAACTTGGAGGGAATTCAAGCTGTGATGGCATCAGGCTGCTTTCCTCTTCTGAACTGAACTTGTTGGAGAAGGCAGACTGAAACAAACACACACACACACACACACACTGACACTGACTGTGTGCAGCCTCATTTGCAGCCTTTCACGCTTCAAAGCTTGATCTGCAGCATCGACAACCTTCTACCTACCAAAGGAGTGGCGGAGGGCATCACAAAGAGTCAGCCTTTTCACATCGGAACGCGGAAGAAAGCGTGTATCTGGAAGTCCGTAAAGTGGCAGAAGGGTTCCTTGCCGAAGGCAGCGTACCGGTCTGGAAACCTAGTCGTCGTCCGCAGAACCGGCGTTCAAACCCAGAAGGCTCCCATCAGAATCTGCTTCGTCGGAGACAAGCAGCGCTGCCAGTCGCATAGCACGGTCACACATGTCACCTGCTTCGTTTTCCCTGGCAGAGTGCAAGAACAGATCTTGGAAAACCGTGCGTGTTTGCCACAACCGCCCGTTGCTGCATTCGATCGCACAAGATTCCGTCAGTTCCATGTCAGAGATTGCCAATTGCCATCCCTTGACCGATTTCTGTCGACTGACTAGTGTCACTAGAGCCCTAGAATTAGAAGCTCCAGACTCGAAGTCCTATTTCAGACTCGCGGTGTGGCACTTCGCCTTGCTTGCATCTCGCAGTACACGACGCCAGCATCGCTTCCCTGCGGTGCCACACTGCCAAAAGACGAACTGCGGGGCTTTCTTCGTAGGGCTGTTAAACTGTCGCGCCTGGGGTTAAGTTTTTGCGTGCCACAAAGCGAAACTTGCTCTGACTGCAGGAGCTTCGTATTGATGCTGGCGTCTCTCTTGTTGGATTCTACATGAAGCAGCCTCGCCAGTGATGTGGTGTATCTCGGTGATGAAGCCGCTGTCCTGCACAAATCGCTCCTAGCCCAAAAATGCATCGAACTAGCGTCTCATTTCGATGACAGACCGGCCTTCAGTGTCGGGAATAGGACGTGATCAAGATATACAGGCAGAATTCCTTGCAGCAAATATTGGAACCGCTTGGATTTGAGAGGGGTAGTTGATGGGGGTACACGTTGACCTTCCGAGCTGTCCTGCGAATATGTTGACACCGTATGACGGGCCGCCCGAACGCCCGCGGACTCCGGACACGAAGAAGGGTGTCTAAAAACATCAGACTTTTAAGGGCTGCATACGAGCGAGTTGCAAGAATGCCTCGCCAAGAAGATCCTTACACTCCAAGTCCTGGCACTCCCGGCAACTTCGCACCCGCGACAATTTCATCGAAGGTCCCCCTAGGCATCTCCAGCCCAGCGACGCAGAAATCCATCGGCGCCGGCAGTATCCACAGTGTAGCAGGTGTGGTCCTGGCCAGTCTCATTTCTGACATCGAACACCTGATGTTCTCCAACCAAATACATATTTCGCCACCAGATCGCACGCCACGGCCACACTTAGAGGGAGAAACGGAAACCGAGATTGTACCATATCCTGAATTGGGAGTAAATAGCTTCACAAAGGTCGTAGACCAGTCATGCTTTCGGCTGCCTCATCATTCCGATGCTTCTAGCAGACTGCACAGGCTCGGATCTCTATATATCGGACAAAGCAGGTTCAAAAATCTCATCCCTGTCATGTACCGGCTTCCTCGGAAATCTGCCATGGACAATCCCGGCTATAAGCGCACCATCCTCCAGCCCTCACTTCGAACACACCACAAGCCCCAACAGAGCATGAAATCTGGAAACGTTTCGGCAATTTGAAAGTTTAAGTCGAGTCGAATGAATCTCCCTTCTTGGCGGGGTCCGTGGCTGTCCATGCATTCGTGCCCTGGGCAAGGCATCTGTTGGCCAAGACGTCCAGCACACCTCTGAGCTGTGGAACTTGCTTCAGGCAAGGCCACTGTGGACTCAGGTTTCTAGCGTGGCCACTCACACTGCAATCAAGTGCAGCCGCCTTGAAGGTTCACTGTTTAGCCCATGCAAGACCTGAGAGATTCCCTTTGGAGTCTTGGGGCACTTTGTTTTGTCATGAGGATCCTCTTGGATTCGCCGAGGCCCCTCCCACGCGTGAATCGGCAGGCAAGGCATACGGAGGACGTTGCATTTTATGCAAAACGGGTCTGAAACCATCACTTGTTGTATCGCTCCAGTGGACACCCGAACGAGCGAGAAAGCCCAAAGGTGCACGGGACTGTGGCGAAGCCGTGAATAGGATCGCAGACTGCGTGTCGTGGCGAGGAAACTGGGTGTTGCTATGAGCACGAAGGTACTGTCAGACCTGCTCATCTTAACCACCAGTGGCTACTCATATGCTACAGTCAATTGTTGCCGGACGCAAAGCGGCATGGAGGTGGAGTGGATCCTACAGTTCACACATCTTGGCGTGAACATATCATTCCTGGGAGTAGACTGGTCCTGGCTGGCATTGCGGGATAGACCGAATTTAGCATCCGGAAGGAAATTCTGGACTTACAGAAAGCATTGTCCCAGATGGCTTGGTTAGCAGGAAAGTTGCTCTCCCGAACTCCAAAACATCCGTCGGCGCCTTTGTAAGGATACCGCTCACTGCCCAGGAAGATCAGGTGCTCCAGGGTATGCGGACATCCGTAGTCATCAAAAGCTTCCTCGGCGGCTGCGAAGTGCTTGGAACCCATTGCACATCCCAGCAGCACGCTCTGTCTACGCCTCAAGCCAACCTCAGTGGCAATCCTAAGATGGGAGGCGTTCGTCAATGTTGCGTCCACGTGTCCGTCTGAATCGCGAAGTAGCCGTGCACTGTGGGCGACTTCACCTTGCAGGCAGTCTTTATGGGAAAATCTTCGGAGGGCGAAACCGATTGAAACATCTTCAATCCATATGTACCCTATTCCTTGGTGTCGACCTGCACTACTGAGGCCCTCTACAGTAGCAGCATTGGGGCAAATCAACTTCGCGAGGTCTTTGCGAGCCTGCGCCGCTACAACCCGCAAACCGGTCTTGGCGCAGCGGTAGAGGGCCACGGGCACCTAGGCAAGGCTCTGCGGCTCGCAGTTTTCTTCCGATTCGGTTCATGCCCTTCTTCCGGTGCACCTCTTCATAGACGAAATGGAACTGCCGCTCGAAGGTGTCCACCTTGCGACATGCGCTTCGAAGTCAGCACTTGAAAATCTGAGAGCTGCTGTAGGCTGAATAAGAGCAAGGAGTACAAACACGGGCCATACTGCCAACACAGTTTTCAGATAGAAACCGCCCGCAGAATGCTCGCTCAGCGGAAGTTCTGGACACCGGAAGAAGTCTGAAAACTCTTCAGGTTCAGAAGCGAAACATGATCTGCCGGCAAGCGACTGTCTTCGGAGGCTCCATGGGCTCACGGGGGAAAGTAATACTTTAGACTCTAGATGGACTTGTTCTGAAATCCGCGATATATCACGGCTTGCATTGGCCTGGCATGTTGCGACCCTCGATCCGGCTAAAGAACCCAGCACCTGGTCCCAAACTTGAATCGCGTGAAGGGCTGCCAGGAGACTGCTCTGTGGCTTAAGCAGCTGCAGAACGCCGGCAGGCAGCACGGTCCATGCTGTTAGAAGGGAAGTCGGAAGACACACGTGCGAGCCTCTGCTGTGAAGATGCGAGGCTCCGCGGTCTTTGAAACTCCGCTTGGGCGACTGTGCGAGGCTGCCAGCTATATTAGTTGGCATCGCGTCGCGGGCATCGGGGAATGCAATGCTCTGCCAAGGATCAACCCCCTCGTAGTCCTCCGCACCGCATCGATACGTTACACATGGCAAGCCGTTGTATAACATGAGGGCACGGTGACGCACAGAGTAAGGGGCATCCAAGGCCAAAAGACAAAGAGCAAAATGTTTTGGAACGCTAAAAGCAACTCCGCTTTCAGTGCAGGCTTGTTCGCCGACGCCGACACACCCGCCTTCATTAAAACTTCTTGCTGTCTAAACTGCTACTACTGCAGGTGTGCTTCTGAATCCGGGCACCGTAGAAACACGCATCGTTGGGACCACGGTTCCTCCAACAAAACATCGACGATGCTCCGGAATAGCACCGCGGAACAGGACGTGCCACAGCACCAAACGGCAACACTGAATTCAAACAGTCTCCGGGCCATCTGGTCCATCATCGCCTCGTACATTAGCCGTCACGCCTTGGGCTTGGTCGAGCTGCGCCGCGTCAGAGCTTTGAGTCTGCCTCATGCGTGGGTCTGTTTTTAGGACGGTTCGGACTCAGGATGCCATGCCCTCATGTTCAGTTCTCAGCAACCAAACCTCGCTCTGCCAAGACGGGCCTCGTGTACTCTTACATGACGTCTTTGGAGCTTGGAGGCAAGGAGCGCTTGGTCTGCTTGGAAGACATGGTATCTCTCTGATGCATGCACAGCACTGTCGAATGCAGGCCGTGCAGTTCGATTTACCTCTGCAGCGTCACTCGTTGTGGAGTCGCGAACTCCGCGCACTGCTGCTCTACTCAAATCGGAACGCCCTGGCCAGCCTGGCTGCTCGACTCAGCTCTGAAAGCGTCACGACCCGAAGGTCTCTCTGTCGCAAGCCTGACCCGGAGCTTCAATTGTGAGAGTCTTTCGAGAAGGACAGCACCAGGCACAGCTGCGTACATGAAGAGTCTCCGACTTGCAAAGGCAAAGGCAAGTGGAGCAGCTTTCCGATGCAAGGAGCACTAATTCACCAACTTTTGGTGACGTGAGTGGCTCCAATTGTGATCAACACCTGCACGAACTACGTGACGATACTGCCTTGAATGCTGAATTATGCTGGTTCCTGTTGCATGGTGTTGCGCAAGCTAGCCCTGGCCCGGCCGGAGAGGAGGAGCCGCAAAGCTTCGAGGTTGTGCTCGCGGAAACCTCAGCGCTTCGAAGAAGAAAGCGCAAAAAGAGGCCCCCGGAAACAGAAGAGTCCTTTTTTGTCTTTCCCTAAATGCCGGGGGTGGCCTCAGAGACGCAACTTGTTCGGTTATGCTGTGTGCGGATGGAAGGGAGTGTGACTTGGTGTTTGCTGGGGAAAGTTCAGCCCAAGATTTGCTAAGGCCACCAAAGCCACCCTACACCCTGGACAGTTGACTACTGACTACTGCTCGGGCTGCAACACGCATTTTATTCTTAGCCAAGGACCTCTCTCCGGCATATGGATCACCTCAGCAGCGACCGCTGGAGGAACCCTTTGGGAGAGCCACTCTAGCCCAAAGCATCGCAGACCGGCTTATCATGCGTTTGAGCTCCACATCACAAGCCAAAGTGTGCAAGGTGTACCCCGAACACGAGTACTTCCGATTCGGGCTTGGGGGTTGATCGAACCCTTCGACTAGCTGCCTGGATCCGAATGCACAAACAGGCCCCTGCCGCCGACAAGGTGCCACGATGGAGCCTCCAGCAGAATCCTGAGCAATTCTCCGCAGCTCCGGAATCAAGACTAGTGACTAGTGTCACTGCTGGTTCTCGCTCCTAAACCAAATCGTGGCCGTCAGGTACCAAGCGCCAACATCAAACCCAATTATCCAAGACGGCGCCCTTGCAAGGGTGATCACAAACGAGTTGATTCGGTATTCCCCAACAAGAACGTTGAAAATTCAGACAAGGCACTACCATCGAGAGCAAGGAGTCCGAGATGAAAGCAGCATCGTCGATCTGAGTATCGTTTGCGAAGCTGTCCTTGCGACTCTAGACTTTCAGTGAGCGTTTCCAAGACTTGTCGAAAACCCGCTACGACTGAATAGCCGTCTTTGCTCTTTGCTGTTGTGGTTACCATTGCTGCCAATACTTTTGCAGGCGAGTAAGCTCACGTCATCTGATACCGCCTGCTAGCTCGGCCTCAGGATTCTTGCTGCAAAGCGACACAGAGCACATGCCTGAAGCCCTCCGCGGCTAGCACCTTCGATGAGGGGGCCCAGCTGCGGTCAATCGTGTGCGCGACAAAGACAGCCGAAGCAAGTGAAGCAGTCTCTGGTCTCTTTGTCTTTGCTGAGCTGGGAAGCCGATGTTTTCTTTGGGGCCGGGGCCCATAGACTCACTGCCTCTTCCTCCGCCCGACACCGAGTTCCGTGAGGAGTTAGAATGCTGGCTGCTTTGCTGCCCCCGGCCTTCTGCATGGCAGAGCTGATGTCGGCATGCGGTGCTCGAAACCTGGTCTGCCGAGGTCTCTACTCGTGCCTAGGTGCGCTTTCTTTGCAGGCATATCTTTTACCTTCTGCACGGCCAGGTCTATGCCTTATCGCGAATTTGGAGGAGGGACCGCACCCCCTGGAGTCTTCGGGATTCAAAAAGAGTGCGGCAATCTGAAATCATGCCGTCGAATTGCAGCTGGAATAGCTCAAGCTGAGGCTGCAATCGAATTCCTCACATCCTTGAAAATGAACCTGCAGAAAGAGTGTGCCGCAGTGATATGTTAATCAAGGGCCTTGGAAGTGTTGATAACCTTGGGGATGTGGAGGGTTGTGCGTTTGTTGTCGATGGCCTGCGGCGGACGATTCGGAGGTAGTTCGTACCGACCACAACCCGCACTGCACCACTATTGAAACATCTATCTGCTGACTGTTTCCCAAACTCTCCACTTTGGCATTCAGGATTTACAGTCTCGATTCAGAGGAAGTATGCGGCTGGCCAACTCACCCCTCCACGTGTACTCGAGGCTCTGCCTGCACCCTTTCTTTGCAAGACAAGCAGGGCGAATCCAGCGGATGATGTCAGCTGGGAAAAGCAGCTGGCCTCTGGAGGAGTGTTTCAGCCGGTGTCCGCCAATGGAAAGATGACCACCGTCACGGTCGCAACGCGCACGGCCCCGGTGACCACTTCGGAGGCTCGAAGAAGCACTCGCATCTTGGTCCGAAGGAGGTCCGACACACTCGAAATCGATAACACCAGGCCCAGAATGGTCCCAAAGCCCTGATTGCAGCGGTAGGTAGCCACGCGCAGGATGCCGCCCCGCGCATCAACGCGTTTGACAGGTCCGGGTCGAACGGTCTACCCAAGCGGCGCTTGCACACCGCTCGGGAGGGTGTGCCGACGCCGAGGCACAGAGCTACGCCGACGCGGAGGCACAGAGCTGTGCCGTCGTCGGGGCGGAGCGAAAGAAGAGTAAGGAAAATCAGCAGGAGGAGGAGGAGGAGAATAACGGCGCCTCATACCCCAGCCCTTACCCCAGCGAACCTGCGGGTGCCTTTCATGTCCCCAAAGAGGCAGGGACATCCCCTTTCAGGCATAGGGCTGGGAGCTTATGCTCTTGGGCTTCGCAGATCTCCGAACGTCGCCAGCAGTGGGAGCCGAAATGACTTGTGACATCCCGTAACGCTATCAGACAAGAATCCTCGACAGACTTCTCAGTTTTGCACTGGAGGAGACCGAACCGAACCGCATCTCTCTGAGCTCACTGCCACTTGGGAGTCACGGCCTGAAGCAGGTCTTCAGCTAGTCGCTTGAGAAAATTAAGAAGAGAATGGAACTCCTGGGGTCGATAAAGACGCTTGCACTACACAGTACAGACACCAGCTTGCCGGTCAAACTGCAACAGCCCGCCACAACACGGCATCACTGGAGCGTCCACCCTTCCACCGTTTCCAAAGAGTATCCCACCAACGGCATTTCTATAGGGTTGGGATGTTCGAAGCGGCCAGTTGGCGGCTGGGGTAGGTCCGTCGATTGTTCAAAACTGTCAAAACTTGCCTGAAATCAATGCTTCTTACGGCCCCCGACCTCTGAGCTGCAACCAAAGGATCCTAGAAGGAAGCACCCTCCTAAGGCCAGGACCTCGGAAACCCTTCTTGGCGCAGACGGCAGCGAAGCGACTGCGCCATGGGAACGCTGTGGCTTGCTGCTTGCTAAAGGGGCAATGGAATTTGACAACACCCTCTCTAAGAAGATTATCGCAGATGATCTCTTCAAAGCCCGAAAGAAAGCCTGAAAACAGACATCTTCCTGGGGTTGGCTTCAAACACGGCTTTGTCTTGGACAAGCTATCAGTCTACCACACGGTTCAACCGTGTACCAAAGATCTTCCATCTGGCAGCCGACCCTTCAAGCTTGGCCTCTGTAGCCCGCGGTCGGTGCACCCTCCTCTTGTAGAGTCTCCTCTTGGGCGGCCTTCAGGGTGACCCCGTCCCCGAACATTTGTCGTCGTCCGGAAGTTGTTTACAAACCCCTGCGCATAATCGAGAATCCTGTCGAGTTTGTCGCACGAAATGTGACAGCGGAGAAGCTTTTTCGGAAGAACCCCTCGGTCGCATCAAGCGTTGGATTAATAAGCTCTTGCTCGGGCAAAAAGAAGATAGCAACATGTAGCAACATCTTAGCAACTTAGCTGCAAGAGAGTTTTTTACTATCCAAAGCGGTCTCAGCCTGGAGCCCT